GATAAAACTATACAAAAGAGAAAAAAAACTAAAAACGCCTGCTACATACTCAAGCTTACAGGAATACTCACACAGTTATCGTTAAAAAAATTGCGTAAAAATTTCAATAAGTTTGAGTCCTATGACTGTTTTCTCAGTATATCTGTCCGTCCATCTGTAAGTGTGTGCTTAAACGAGTGAGTATTCACCCCATAAAATTAACATTTGTGATAAATTGCTCTTACGTGATGAGCATAAACATCATATGTCTTTTGTAGGATTCCTTATTTTTACTTTCTGTAACCGACATTGCAACATATTTAAGTAAAAATTTCGCCTCCTATTTCTTCTTCTCATTTTTCAATAAAAGAAATGAGTTGAGCAGTAAAAATTGCTTGCAAAAAAAAGGGCAAAAGTTGCTTTTAGTGTTTATAATTTTCAACTGCATTGATGTTAAGATGAAAATGGCAGAGATCAAAAAGACTAAATGTGGCAGGGAATATTATGTACTTGTAATAAAAAAGAAAAATTTTTATGACTCTTCAAACATCTGACAGCAACTTATTTATTCCTTTACTTGAGTTTTATTTAACACTTGAATTTTTTATATGTATTACTTTATCTGTTTTGATTAGACACAATTTGTTCAATTTATTTTGGCGATGAAAAAGAAAAACTGTTACATTTGATAGAATTTTAAATTAAATGTAAAATTTTGAATTTCTATAGTTTGAGAAATGAAGATGCGTGAGTCTAGGTTTAAAATATAGTTATAATAGCCATATAGTGACATAAACAGTTCACAGTTCAATTCTAGTTCAGTTCTAGTTCTGTTCTAGTTCTGTTCTAGTTCTGTTCTAGTTCTGTTCTAGTTCTGTTCTAGTTCTGTTCTAGTTCTGTTCTAGTTCTGTTCTAGTTCTGTTCTAGTTCTGTTCTAGTTCTGTTCTAGTTCTGTTCTAGTTCTGTTCTAGTTCTGTTCTAGTTCTGTTCTAGTTCTGTTCTAGTTCTGTTCTAGTTCTGTTCTAGTTCTGTTCTAGTTCTGTTCTAGTTCTGTTCTAGTTCTGTTCTAGTTCTGTTCTAGTTCTGTTCTAGTTCTGTTCTAGTTCTGTTCTAGTTCTGTTCTAGTTCTGTTCTAGTTCTGTTCTAGTTCTGTTCTAGTTCTGTTCTAGTTCTGTTCTAGTTCTGTTCTAGTTCTGTTCTAGTTCTGTTCTAGTTCTGTTCTAGTTCTGTTCTAGTTCTGTCTGTTCTAGTTCTGTTCTAGTTCTGTTCTAGTTCTGTTCTAGTTCTGTTCTAGTTCTGTTCTAGTTCTGTTCTAGTTCTGTTCTAGTTCTGTTCTAGTTCTGTTCTAGTTCTGTTCTAGTTCTGTTCTAGTTCTGTTCTAGTTCTGTTCTAGTTCTGTTCTAGTTCTGTTCTAGTTCTGTTCTAGTTCTGTTCTAGTTCTGTTCTAGTTCTGTTCTAGTTCTGTTCTAGTTCTGTTCTAGTTCTGTTCTAGTTCTGTTCTAGTTCTGTTCTAGTTCTGTTCTAGTTCTGTTCTAGTTCTGTTTAGTTCTGTTCTAGTTCTGTTCTAGTTCTGTTCTAGTTCTGTTCTAGTTCTGTTCTAGTTCTGTTCTAGTTCTGTTCTAGTTCTGTTCTAGTTCTGTTCTAGTTCTGTTCTAGTTCTGTTCTAGTTCTGTTCTAGTTCTGTACTAGTTATTATAATATTTTAAGGAGCGCACAACAGGCCCGATAGTGGCCTAGGTGTATTTCTTCGGATTTGATAGTAGACATCCTCCTATGAACCTACCTACCTATTTTAATATTTTATTAAATAAGTTACTTATCGTCAATTAATGTTTCCTTAGTTAACTAATTTATACAACTAAGATTTATATGGAATATATTTGGGTTAAAAAGAAATTGTCAGAGCCTAAATAAACTTTTCTGGTAATAAATAATAAAACTATAAATACTCAAATCTTAAACAAAACTTTCAGAAAAATAGTAGAAATTTGTACCTTCGTTAGTTTTACAACAAATATAAGTTTGCCAACTATGTACATATTAGCAAAAATCAACTACAACCCATAAAATCTAATATATTCTCCCACATTAGCTACTTAAGTATTCATAACAAATATATTTACTATATTTCAGAGTTAAAATTGGAAAACATAGAATGGGTTTGTTATTATTTTCCTACTGTTTAATTTACTCAATTACCTAGGCAAACATACAATTACTCTACACCTTTTCTATCTCTCCCACTCACACCATGTATGGGGCAAAATTTAGCAGAAAAGTTATGCCCCATGAGCACTTTCCTTTTCTCATTTCAGGGGGAGTCTTTGTGTAGTATATTTTGTGGCATAAATTAATTAAATATTTAAATCAAGTTAAAAGGTTTAAAATTGTGTATGATAATTTTCGTATAAATAATAAACAATAATTAAATGTGTACACCCCACTACATTGCAACAACTGTACGTATATTTATGAATGTATGTATATACTTTTGTATTATATAAACTGCTATTAGTATAATTATATACATTCAAGCATACACATTTTAATTACACAGTGATTTTAGTTATGTGTTAAAAGGAATGAGAACAATTGTTTTGGAAAAACTGTATTGACGACATTATAGTGAAGACTAGAACTGAACAGAACTAGAACAGAACTAGAACAGGACTAGAACAGAACTAGAACAGGACTAGAACAGAACTAGAACAGAACCAGAACAGAACTAGAACAGAACTAGAACGGAACTAGAACAGAACTAGAACAGAACTAGAACAGAACTAGAACAAAACTAGAATAGAACTAGAACAGAACTAGAACAGAACTAGAACAGAACTAGAACAGAACTAGAACAGAACTAGAACAGAACTAGAACAGAACTAGAACAGAACAGAACTAGAACAGAACTAGAACAGAACTAGAACAGAACTAGAACAGAACTAGAACAGAACTAGAACAGAACTAGAACAGAACTAGAACAGAACTAGAACTAGAACAGAACTAGAACAGAACTAGAACAGAACAGAACTAGAATAGAACTAAAACAGAACTAGAACAGAACTAGAACAGAACTAGAACAGATTTAGAACAGAACTAGAACAGAACTAGTACAGAACTAGAACAGAACTAGAACAGAACTAGAACAGAACTAGAACAGAACTAGAACAGAACTAGAACAGAACTAGAACAGATTTAGAACAGAACTAGAACAGAACTAGTACAGAACTAGAACAACTAGAACAGAACTAGAACAGAACTAGAACAGAACTAGAACAGAACTAGAACAGAACTAGAACAGAACTAGAACAGAACTAGAACAGAACTAGAACAGAACTAGAACAGAACTAGAACAGAACTAGAACAGAATTAGAACAGAACTAGAACAGAACTAGAACAGGACTAGAACAGAACTAGAATAGAACTAGAATAGAACTAGAACAGAACTAGAACAGAACTAGAACAGAACTAGAACAGAACTAGAACAGAACTAGAACAGAACCAGAACAGAACTAGAACAGAACTAGAACAGAACTAGAACAGAACTAGAACAGAACTAGAACAGAACTAGAACAGAACTAGAACAGAACTAGAACAGAACTAGAACAGAACTAGAACTGAATTAGAACTGAAGTAGAACTGAACTAGAACTGAACCTAGAAACTGAACTAGAACTGAACTAGAAACTGAACTAGAAACTGAACTAGACTGAACACTGAACTAGAACTGAACTAGAACTGAACTAGAACTGAACTAGAACTGAACTAGAACTGAACTAGAACTGAACTAGAAACTGAACTAGAACTGAACTAGAACTGATACTAGAACTGAACTAGAACTGACTAGACTGAACTAGAACTGAACTAGAACTGAACTAGAACTGAACTAGAACTGAACTAGAACTGAACCTAGAACTGAACTAGACTGAACTAGAACTGAACTAGAACTGAACTAGAACTGAACTAGAACTGAACTAGAACTGAACTAGAACTGAACTAGAACTAGAACTGAACTAGAACTGAACTAGAACTGAACTAGAACTGAACTAGAACTGAACTAGAACTGAACTAGAACTGAACTAGAACTGAACTAGAACTGAACTAGAACTGAACTATGAACTAGAACTGAACTAGAACTGAACTAGAACTGAACTAGAACTGAACTAGAACTGAACTAGAACTGAACTAGAACTGAACTAGAACTGAACTAGAACTGAACTAGAACTGAACTAGAACTGAACTAGAACTGAACTAGAACTGAACTAGAACTGAACTAGAACTGAACTAGAACTGAACTAGAACTGAACTAGAACTGAACTAGAACTGAACTAGAACTGAACTAGAAACTGAACTAGAACTGAACTAGAACTGAACTAGAACTGACTAGAACTGAACTAGAACTGAACTAGAACTGAACTAGAACTGAACTAGAACTGAACTAGAACTGAACTAGAACTGAACTAGAACTGAACTAGAACTGAACTAGAACTGAACTAGAACTGAACTAGAACTGAACTAGAACTGAACTAGAACTGAACTAGAACTGAACTAGAACTGAACTAGAACTGAACTAGAACTGAACTAGAACTGAATTAGAACTGAACTAGAACTGAACTAGAAACTGAACTAGAACTGAACTAGAACTGAACTAGAACTGAACAGAACTGAAATAGAACTGAACTACAAATGAAGTACAACTTAACTACAACTGATCTGAAACTGAAGTGGATGTGAACTGAAACGGAACCCAATTTAACTGATTATCGTCCCTTTATTGTTTTTCAAAAAGGGAGTAAAATCTGTTTAGCAGTTTGTTTAGCATATTTTGTTAAAATGTTTCATAATTTTTAATATCCAATATTTTGCAATAAAGTAAATTTAATTTCGCCAATTATAAACACCAACTATATACAGAAATATTGCTGTCATTTAGTGATTAAATGAAATAAAATATTTATAATAATATTGGGTTTACGCTTATTAAATTATACTTTAGTTTAAACAAGTTTTCTTGTATCCTTTCAGAACCTCTACGATTGCTTTTGTACCCCAACAGCCCTGGCTGCTTAATGCCAGCATTCGTGAGAATATTTTATTTGGGGAATCTTTTCGTCCACGACGCTATGATTTTGTTCTAGAAGCCTGTGCTCTTAAACCGGATATAGAGCTGATGCCGGCGGGAGATTTGACGGTGATAGGAGAGCGTGGCATCAATATGTCGGGTGGTCAAAGACAAAGAGTGGCCATAGCTAGAGCTTTATATTCCTCAGCTAATGTGGTGATAATGGTGAGTGGAAGTTAGGGACAAGATTTTAATATTTTTTTGCCATCAGCTGTTTTCTTCTTAGCTCATTTTTATTTACTTAGTGAACATTTTTCTAGTAGTTATACCCTACACCACTATAGTGGTGAGGGTATTATGCGTTTGTGCTGATGTTTGTAACACCCAAAAATATTGGTCCTACACCCACCTTAAAGTATACCAATCGGCTCAGAATCACTTCCTGAGTCGATTAAGCTATGTCCGTCTGTCCGTCCGTCCGTCCGTCTGTCTGTCTGTCTGTCTGTGTGTCCATGTAAACCTTGTGCGCACTCTACAGGTCGCAATTTTGAGATAATTTGATGAAATTTAGAACATGCACTTCTCTTGGTACAAGGACGAACGCTATTGAAAATGGTTGAAATCGGTCCATTATTTCACCTAGCCCCCATACAACCGGACCCCCCGAATAGGGCTTTTGACCTCATAATTATGTTAAATGAGCTACTATCTCTACAAAAATTGGAAAAATTTAGTTTTATATATGTCTTAATAATTCTAGTGATTTTCGTAAAGATCGGACATTATTTGACCCTTGCCCCCATACAAAGTCCCCCTCAGAAAATGACTTGAATGTCCACAATTCACTTATAAACACTAGTATCACGATGAAATTTGGCAAAAATGAGTTTTGTATAGACATAATTCCCAACAATAAACTTTATAGGGATCGGCCCAAGTTTTGCCCTAGCCCCCATATACCCGGACCTTCCGATTTGGGCCTTTTAGCTCATAACTTTGTCAAATATACTAATATCTGTCCAAAAATCACAAGGCACAACTAAGTTTGATATAATTATAAATAACACTGTCGATTTTTATAATGATCGGGCATTATTTGACCCTATCCCCCATACAAAATCCCCTTCAGAAAATGACTTGAATGTCCATTCATCATTTATAAACACAAGTATTACGATGAAATTTGCCACAAATAGATTTTATATAAACATAAATGTCGACATTAACTTTTATAAGGATCGGACCAATTTTTGCCTTAGCCCCCATACAACCGGACCTACCGATTTTGGCCTTTTAGCTCATAACTACGACAAATATACTACTATCTTCCCAAAAATTGGCATAATTGATATAATTATAAATAACACTGTAATTTTTCGCCATGATCGGAAATAAAAAGGAGGCCTATTGCCAGATATACAGGAATACGCTGTGAAAATCTGAAGAAAACATATAAACACACAAACATATAAACATACAAACATACAAACAAATACACATTCATTTTTATATATATAGATAATTCCCAATAATACATTTTATAAGGATCGGCTCAATTTCTGCCTTAGCCCCCATACATCCGGACCTTTATCTTTTAACTACGTCTAATATACTACTATCTATCTAAAAGTTGGCACAATGTGGTGATGTTTGTAACACTCAAAAATATTCGTCCTTATTAAGCTATGTGCGTCTTTGTGACCGTGTAAACCTTGTGTGCACGCAACAGATCACAATTTTGAATATAATTTGTTAAAATGGGTCACATACTATTCTCTGGATCCAATGACGAAGGCTGTTGAAAATTATTGAAATCGGTCTTTTATTTCTCCTAGTCAGCATACAACCGTACATGAACAGACATTATTTGGAACCTATATAAGTTTAACAGAAATGCTTCATTATTGAAATTATTCACATTTAATATTCGCAATTGGTGTAGGGTATCATATGGTCGGCCACGCCCGACTATAACTTCTTACTTGTTTTTTTGTTAATTTTGTTGCATGTCTTGAAATGTTAGTTTTTTAATTTAATGATTTTTATATTTTCTATATATTTTTTTCTCTTTTTGTTTCTTTTCTTTTTGCAGGATGATCCTTTATCATCGTTAGACAATGAAGTGGCCCGTCACATATTTGAACAAAGTATTAAAAAAATGCTATTGAAAGCCAATCGCACTGTCATTTTAGTGACACAACAATTAAATTTACTACAACAGGCACACAATGTAAGTGCTATCACTAAAACATACTCTCGCAACTAGCTTGAACACAGAGACACACACACTTACATATATCGAAATCTAGAAAAAGGACATTTTCTTTTTACTCGCCTTTTGTGCTTCAAAAAAAGATATTTTTAACTGTAATAAAAATAGTTTGAAAATAAGAGAAAGAAAAAATAACTCAACTGTCACTTCCTGGTGTTAAAAAACTAATAAATTTTATATTTTTGTTGCGAAGAAAAAGGACACATTTTTTGAAAGCTTTTGCCCTTGAGGTATAACTGATAGACAAATATTAATTTTTTTATAACATTTATTTTCGATATTTTTAGCCAAATGTTTATTATTTATTTTCCTATTAATTCAATTCAAATGTTTTTTTAATAGTTATTTTAGTGCTTAAAATTTGAATTATTTTTTTCATTTGTTCTCTTTAGTAGAGTTTCAATTATTTTCCTTTTCTTCTTGTTATTTTATGTTTCAACAAAGAAATATTTAATTTATTGCATAATTTTTCAATTTTTTTTCCATTTCATTATGTTTTGAAATTTACTTTTTCATTTCACAATATTTTGTGTTGGTTTTTAGTTTCATTTTAATTTCTGACTTATAGCTTTGTTTATGACTGTGGTAGTAAATTAATATGTATTTCTATTTGCATACCCTTCATTAAAATAAAAAGATTAATACTAACAGAACTAGAATAGAACTAGAAGAGAACTAGAACAGAACTAGAACGAACTAGAACAGAACTAGAACATAGCTAGAAAGAACTAGGAACAGAACTAGAACAGAACTAGAACAGAACTAGAACAGAACTAGAACAGAACTAGAACAGAAACTAGAACAGAACTAGAACAGAACTAGAACAGACTAGAACAGAACTAGAACAGAACTAGAACAGAAACTAGAACAGAACTAGAACAGAACTAGAACATAACTAGAACAGAACTAGAACAGAACTAGAACAGAACTAGAACAGAACTAGAACAGAACTAGAACAGAACTAGAACAGAACTAGAACAGAACTAGAACAGAACTAGAACAGAACTAGAACAGAACTAGAACAGAACTAGAACAGAACTAGAACAAAATTAGAACAGAACTAGAACAGAACTAGAATAAAACTAGAACAAAACTAGAACAGAACTAGAACAGAACTAGAACAGAACTAGAACAGAACTAGAACAGAACTAGAACAGAACTAGAACAGAACTAGAACAGAACTAGAACAGAACTAGAACAGAACTAGAACAGAACTATAACAGAACTAGAACAGAACTAGAACAAACTAGAACAGAACTAGAACAGAACTAGAACAGAACTAGAACAGAACTAGAACAGAACTAGAACAGAACTAGAACAGAACTAGAACAGAACTAGAACAGAACTAGAACAGAACTAGAACAGAACTAGAACAGAACTAGAACAGAACTAGAACAGAACTAGAACAGAACTAGAACAGAACTAGAACAGAACTAGACAGAACTAGAACAGAACTAGAACAGAACTAGAACAGAACTAGAACAGAACTAGACCGAACTAGAACAGAACTAGAACAGAACTAGAACAGAACTAGAAACAGAACTAGAACAGAACTAGAACAGAACTAGAACAGAACTAGAACAGAACTAGAACAGAACTAGAACAGAACTAGAACAGAACTAGAACAGAACTAGAACAGAACTAGAACAGAACTAGAACAGAACTAGAACAGAACTAGAACAGAACTAGAACAGAACTAGAACAGAACTAGAACAGAACTAGAACAGAACTAGAACAGAAACTAGAACAGAACTAGAACAGAACTAGAACAGAACTAGAACAGAACTAGAACAGAACTAGAACAGAACTAGAACAGAACTAGAACAGAACTAGAACAGAACTAGAACAGAACTAGAACAGAACTAGAACAGAACTAGAACAGAACTAGAACAAACTAGAAACAGAACTAGAACAGAACTAGAACAGAACTCGAACAGAACTAGAACAGAACTAGAACAGAACTAAGAACAGAAAACTAGAACAGAACTAGACACAGAACTAGAACCAGAACTAGAAACAGAACTAGAACAGAACTAGAACCAGAACTAGAACAGAACTAGAACAGAACTAGAACAGAACTAGAACAGAACTAGAACAGAACTAGAACAGAACTAGAACAGAACTAGAACAGAACTAGAACAGAACTAGAACAGAAACTAGAACAGAACTAGAACAGAACTAGAAACAGAACTAGAAACCGAAACATAGAACAGAACTAGACAGAACTAGAACAGAACTAGAACAGAAACTATAACAGAACTAGAACAGAACTAGAACAGAACTAGAACAGAACTAGAACCAGAAACTAGAACAGAACTAGAACAGAACTAGAACAGAAACTAGGAACAGAACTAGAACAGAACTAGAACAGAACTAGAACAGAACTAGAACAGACAGAACGAACTAGAAACAGAACTAGAACAGAACTAGAACAGAACTAGAACAGAACTAGAACAGAACTAGAAATAGACTAGAACTAGAACAACTAGAACAGAACTAGAACAGAACATAGAACTAGAACTAGAACAGAACTAGAACAGAACTAGACAGAATAGAACAGAACTAGACACAGAACTAGAACAGAACTAGAACGAACTAGAACAGAACTAGAACAGAACTAGAAACAGAACTAGAACAGAACTAGAACAGAACTAGAACAGAACTAGAACAGAAATAGAACAGAACTAGAATCAGAACTAGAACAGAACTAGAACAGAACTAGACAGACTAGAACAGAACTAGAACAGAAACTAGAACAGGACAGACAGAACAGAACTAGAACAGAACTAGAACAGAACTAGAACAGACTAGAACAGAACTAGAACAGAACTAGAACAGAACTAGAACATAACTAGAACAGAACTAGAACAGAACTAGAACAGAACTAGAACAGAACTAGAACAGAAACTAGAACAGAACTAGAACAGAACTAGAACAGAACTAGAACAGAACTAGAACAGAACTAGAACAGAACTAGAACAGAACTAGAACAGAACTAGAACAGAACTAGAACAAACTAGAACAAGAACTAGAAACGAACTAGAACAGAAACTAGAACAGAAATAGACACAGACTAGACAGAACTAAACAGAACTAGAACAGAACTAAACAGAACAGACAGAACTATAAACAGAACTAAATAGAACTCGAACAGAACTAGAACACAATAAAATACCAATAGTGCTTAAGATTCGACTTTATCAACCTTAATGTTGCTTTGAAATTCACTCTTTCCCTCTTTTCCATTTCCAGTTAATGTGTTGAAAGATGGTTGCCTGCAAGCATCGGTAAGCTACAAGGATATCGAAGTAACTCATCCTCATATAATCGCTAAATGGAATCAATAATTGCTAAAGCCAATGCAAAAGAACAACAAAATAAGTAAGTTGTAGTATATAAAAAAAAACAGTAAAAATTGTTTCACACAAAAAAGTCCATCAGATCGAGTTGAACAATTGAAAAAATGAATAAACAATTTTTATTGCTGATTGCGATAATGAATGGAGAAATTTCGTTAATAATGAACTGAAATTTAAATGACTTTTGTTAATGAAAATTGGAATTTTGTTTTTTTCTAGGAAAGCAAATGTTTATTAGGAAAATTAATACAAAGAATTCTGTAAAATAGTCGTTAATGCAATTAAATTATAAGAGTAATAATTTGGAACATGTTCGGACATGCTACATAATGGAATGTAATAGAATACACAATAAAAAATAGTATTTAGGTTAGGTTAGGTCAGGTTCTAGTTTAGTTCTAGTTCAGTTCTAGTTCAGTTCTAGTTCAGTTCTAGTTCAGTTCTAGTTCAGTTCTAGTTCAGTTCTAGTTCAGTTCTAGTTCAGTTCTAGTTCAGTTCTAGTTCAGTTCTAGTTCATTCTAGTTCAATTCTAGTTCAGTTCTAGTTCAGTTCTAGTTCAGTTCTAGTACAGTTCTAGTTCAGTTCTAGTTCAGTTCTAGTTCAGTTCTAGTTCAGTTCTAGTTCAATTCTAGTTCAGTTCTAGTTCAGTTCTAGTTCAGTTCTAGTTCAGTTCTAGTTCAGTTCTAGTTCAGTTCTAGTTCAGTTCTAGTTCAGTTCTAGTTCAGTTCTAGTTCAGTTCTAGTTCAGTTCTAGTTCAGTTCTAGTTCAGTTCTAGTTCAGTTCTAGTTCAGTTCTAGTTCAGTTCTAGTTCAGTTCTAGTTCAGTTCTAGTTCAGTTCTAGTTCAGTTCTAGTTCAGTTCTAGTTCAGTTCTAGTTCAGTTCTAGTTCAGTTCTAGTTCAGTTCTAGTTCAGTTCTAGTTCAGTTCTAGTTCAGTTCTAGTTCAGTTCTAGTTCAGTTCTAGTTCAGTTCTAGTTCAGTTCTAGTTCAGTTCTAGTTCAGTTCTAGTTCAGTTCTAGTTCAGTTCTAGTTCAGTTCTAGTTCAGTTCTAGTTCAGTTCTAGTTCAGTTCTAGTTCAGTTCTAGTTCAGTTCTAGTTCAGTTTCTAGTTCAGTTCTAGTTCAGTTCTAGTTCAGTTCTAGTTCAGTTCTAGTTCAGTTCTAGTTCAGTTCTAGTTCAGTTCTAGTTCAATTCTAGTTCAATTCTAGTTCAGTTCTAGTTCAGTTCTAGTTCAGTTCTAGTTCAGTTCTAGTTCAGTTCTAGTTCAGTTCTAGTTCAGTTCTAGTTCAGTTCTAGTTCAGTTCTAGTTCAGTTCTAGTTCAGTTCTAGTTCAGTTCTAGTTCAGTTCTAGTTCAGTTCTAGTTCAGTTCTAGTTCAGTTCTAGTTCAGTTCTAGTTCAGTTCTAGTTCAGTTAGTTCAGTTCTAGTTCAGTTCTAGTTCAGTTCTAGTTCAGTTCTAGTTCAGTTCTAGTTCAGTTCTAGTTCAGTTCTAGTTCAGTTCTAGTTCAGTTCTAGTTCAGTTCTAGTTCAGTTCTAGTTCAGTTCTAGTTCAGTTCTAGTTCAGTTCTAGTTCAGTTCTAGTTCAGTTCTAGTTCAGTTCTAGTTCAGTTCTAGTTCAGTTCTAGTTCAGTTCTAGTTCAGTTTAGTTCAGTTCTAGTTCAGTTCTAGTTCAGTTCTAGTTCAGTTCTAGTTCAGTTCTGGTTTAGTTCTAGTTCAGTTCTAGTTCAGTTCTAGTTCAGTTCTAGTTCAGTTCTAGTTCAGTTCTAGTTCAGTTCTAGTTCAGTTCTAGTTCAGTTCTAGTTCAGTTCTAGTTCAGTTCTAGTTCAGTTCTAGTTCAGTTCTAGTTCAGTTCTAGTTCAGTTCTAGTTCAGTTCTAGTTCAGTTCTAGTTAAGTTCTAGTTCAGTTCTAGTTCAGTTCTAGTTCAGTTCTAGTTCAGTTCTAGTTTAGTTCTAGTTCAGTTCTAGTTCAGTTCTAGTTCAGTTCTAGTTCAGTTCTAGTTCAGTTCTAGTTCAGTTCTAGTTCAGTTCTAGTTCAGTTCTAGTTCAGTTCTAGTTCAGTTCTAGTTCAGTTAGATTCAAGTTCTATACCGTCAGCTGGTAATATATCTTATACCTGACAGTATTATTAAGTGATAAGTAGAGAATATTAAAGATATTATTATATTCAGCCTTTAATTATACCATTTCTTTCCCCTGTTAAAGTAATAAATCATTGAAATACAAGACAAACCCTTCAAAAATATGACAAAAACGATTTATTGGCTTTAAGCTCCCCTCCTCTCTTCGAGACAGACTAATAAATCTGCTACACGCTTTTCTTAAAACACCCTGCCCTGCTATTAATTTCCTTACTTCCTTTGCCACTTCCTGTTTTTATTCAACTAAATGCAGGTTCATTCTATTAAATTTTTATACCTCATAAATTTTCATACAACAATTTTCAACTTAAATAAGTTTCATTTACTTCAGACGCTCGCTGACTGGCTGAATGACTAACTGAAAGACAGTCTGATTGTCGGGGTCTAGTTGGCAAGTAGAAAATGAAAATTATCTTCAATATTCAATGTACTTACCACTCGTACCCCTAGTCATATTTCTATGACCCTATTCAAATGATTTTAACGTATTTGCTTAGTATCTGTGTATTTGTAAAGAGAGAGGGCTACTGTTCGTAGAATCTTTGCCTTTAATTTTGATACCAGTCCTGCTGTTACTGTTGTTGCTTGCAATTCAATTAAAGCACATGAACTGCTGCTAGTTGAAGGGACAGCAGGAGTGGGTAAGCCTGTTGGTAATAAGATTTTGTGAAGGCATGTGTATGCCTATGTTGGAATATATCAAGTGTTGTGTAAATTAAAACCATGATTCTTCGAACAAGTAAGTTCGTAAGCAAAACAAGGAGTAAGTTTTGCTTATGGAAAAAGTAGTTCCTAGTTGAGTAGCAATAATAAGTAGTATTGTAGTGTTTAAAAGTATGATGGGAATTAGTAAGTTAACTGGTTTTTAACTGGTTTTTCTGCCATGTCATGATTATAGGCCTAAGTAAGTTAATTGCAGGTAGTAGCTCAAGTGGAACGAAACAAAACTAAAATACATAAAATTTTCTGTAATATGATAAAAGGGGAGTGAATTTGGGGAATATAGATAAACGAGGGTGGAGAGTTAAGAATCTAAATCAGAACTTAAACAATTCTAATTCCTTTTTATATTTCTTATGTTTTAGTTTTTTCTAGTTCTATTCTAGTTCTGTTCTAGTTCTGTTCTAGTTCTGTTCTAGTTCTGTTCTAGTTCTGTTCTAGTTCTGTTCTAGTTCTAGTTCTTTCTTGTTCTGTTCTAGTTCTAGTTCTGTTCTAGATCTGTTCTAGTTCTGTTCTAGTTCTAGTTCTGTTCTAGTTCTGTTCTAGTTCTGTTCTAGTTCTATTCTAGTTCTGTTCTAGTTCTGTTCTAGTTCTGTTCTAGTTCTGTTCTAGTTCTGTTCTAGTTCTGTTCTAGTTCTGTTCTAGTTCTGTCCTAGTTCTGTTCTAGTTCTGTTCTAGTTCTGTTCTAGTTCTGTTCTAGTTCTGTTCTAGTTCTGATCTAGTTCTGTTCTAGTTCTGTTCTAGTTCTGTTCTAGTTCTGTTCTAGTTATGTTCTAGTTCTGTTCTAGTTCTGGTCTAGTTCTGTTCTAGTTCTGTTCTAGTTCTGTTCTAGTTCTGTTCTAGTTCTGTTCTAGTTCTGTTCTAGTTCTGTTCTAGTTCTGTTCTGGTTCTGTTCTAGTTCTGTTCTAGTTCTGTTCTAGTTCTGTTCTAGTTCTGTTCTAGTTCTGTTCTAGTTCTGTTCTAGTTCTGTTCTAGTTCTGTTCTAGTTCTGTTCTAGTTCTGTTCTAGTTCTGTTCTAGTTTGTTCTAGTTCTGTTCTAGTTCTGTTCTAGTTCTGTTCTAGTTCTGTTCTAGTTCTGTTCTAGTTCTGTTCTAGTTCTGTTCTAGTTCTGTTCTAGTTCTGTTCTAGTTCTGTTCTAGTTCTGTTCTAGTTCTGTTCTAGTTCTGTTCTAGTTCTGTTCTAGTTCTGTTCTAGTTCTGTTCTAGTTCTGTTCTAGTTCTGTTCTAGTTCTGTTCTAGTTCTGTTCTAGTTCTGTTCTAGTTCTGTTCTCTTCTGTTCTGTTCTAGTTCTGTTCTAGTTCTGTTCTAGTTCTGTTCTAGTTCTGTTCTAGTTCTGTTCTAGTTCTGTTCTAGTTCTGTTCTAGTTCTGTTCTGTTCTAGTTCTGTTCTAGTTCTGTTCTAGTTCTGTTCTAGTTCTGTTCTAGTTCTGTTCTAGTTCTGTTCTAGTTCTGTTCTAGTTCTGTTCTAGTTCTGTTCTAGTTCTGTTCTAGTTCTGTTCTAGTTCTGTTCTAGTTCTGTTCTAGTTCTGTTCTAGTTCTGTTCTAGTTCTGTTCTAGTTCTGTTCTAGTTCTGTTCTAGTTCTGTTCTAGTTCTGTTCTAGTTCTGTTCTAGTTCTGTTCTAGTTCTGTTCTAGTTCTGTTCTAGTTCTGTTCTAGTTCTGTTCTAGTTCTGTTCTAGTTCTGTTCTAGTTCTGTTCTAGTTTGTTCTAGTTCTGTTCTAGTTCTGTTCTAGTTCTGTTCTAGTTCTGTTCTAGTTCTGTTCTAGTTCTGTTCTAGTTCTGTTCTAGTTCTGTTCTAGTTCTGTTCTAGTTCTGTTCTAGTTCTGTTCTAGTTCTGTTCTAGTTCTGTTCTAGTTCTGTTCTAGTTCTGTTCTAGTTCTGTTCTAGTTCTGTTCTAGTTCTGTTCTAGTTCTGTTCTAGTTCTGTTCTAGTTCTGTTCTAGTTCTGTTCTAGTTCTGTTCTAGTTCTGTTCTAGTTCTGTTCTAGTTCTGTTCTAGTTCTGTTCTAGTTCTGTTCTAGTTCTGTTCTAGTTCTGTTCTAGTTCTGTTCTAGTTCTGTTCTAGTTCTGTTCTAGTTCTATTCTAGTTCTGTTCTAGTTCTGTTCTAGTTCTGTTCTAGTTCTGTTCTAGTTCTGTTCTAGTTCTGTTCTAGTTCTGTTCTAGTTCTGTTCTAGTTCTGTTCTAGTTCTGTTCTAGTTCTGTTCTAGTTCTGTTCTAGTTCTGTTCTAGTTCTGTTCTAGTTCTGTTCTAGTTCTGTTCTAGTTCTGTTCTAGTTCTGTTCTAGTTCTGTTCTAGTTCTGTTCTAGTTCTGTTCTAGTTCTGTTCTAGTTCTGTTCTAGTTCTGTTCTAGTTCTGTTCTAGTTCTGTTCTAGTTCTGTTCTAGTTCTGTTCTAGTTCTGTTCTAGTTCGGTTCTAGTTCTGTTCTAGTTCTTCTAGTTCTGTTTCTAGTTTCATATTTCCTAAATTTATTTAACAACCCTCGTTGTTATAACATTCTCAGCATGAACCCGTCTTTAGTAAAAAAAATTTTCAAATATTTGACATGCCATAAGGTTTCGTAATAACGATGATGATGATGAAGACTATTAGGTCTTTGATGACTATAAGTATTTTTTTATATTATTTTATTGAAATAAAACGAAGGACACTTAACCAAACACTGAATGAAGTTAAACAATGACTAGAATTAAAGGCTTAAAACAAGAGGAAAACAGCAGCACATCATGATACTTAGGCATGAAAAAAGAAAAGCCACGAATTTTTCAAAGAAATTAAAATTTTAAATACCGTTTAAAAAAATATTTTTTCTTTTTAATTATTTTTCTTTAATTAGTTCTGAAGAAAATGCTGCTCTAGGCCGAACAGCTCGTGAACGATGGAAATTATTTAAAAATGTGGCCAAATTGGGACTACAGCGTTCAGCTTCTATAACAAATTCAGGTGCTGCTTCTGCTCACACACCTAGTGAATTGGATGCGGAAACGGATATGAAACCAACAAGTTCTATGGAAAACATATTAGCAGCTGACGAAGATGATGTAGATGCCTACAATCAAATTTTGCCGGCGGTAAGTGTTTTTTTAAATAAGTTTTTATAGAGAAATTCTTTGAGACTGTTTAGTGTCAGTTTTGAGGAGTGTTTTATGTTTGGAGAAAAATTCTAATGTTTTTCTATTGTTTATCTGTTTAATGTTGAATATTTATGTTATTCTTTCATTACAAATCTAAAATATTTTGGTAACAGTCGAGTGGTTTAATTGTTATTTCTTGTTACACAAAATAAACCATAAATTTTAAAAATATTTCTAATTCAAATTGTTTCCCTTTCCCAAAGCACTCTTCTATGATCTCACACAATACCAGCTTCAAATTGAAACGTACCCCCTCTACTGTTTATGGATCACGGCATCTCATCTACGACGTTCCCCTGCCTCTTGATGAATGCCAAACGGAGAACGTCATCCTAAGACGCCGCAGACGTACCAGCAGTCGTAGTGATAGTCAACAGAAAGCCCGACCCAGTTCAAGAACTTCTAGTCGCCTAAGCAATATCAGCAATACACCCACGGAACTAAGAAGAAGTTTACTCACCAACAGTTGCAGTAGTGCCAATAGTTATATGACCAATTTAAGTAGTAATTATGGAGATGAGGTTACACCCACATCTCGCACTCAATCATGGCAGCCATCCACTAACACTATAACGAAACAACATCAACCTGTAGCTAGAAATATTTCTTCACCACCCACTTTTGATGAGCAACTGGTTAAGGAGGAAGACGAAAAAGATTCATCGGATGCTGCCCTAGTGGCAGATTTGGTAAAAACTTCCGCTTCTAATAATGGTTTTCAACAGTTTTTGCGAAGAATGTCTATGAGAAAATCGTTTAAGCCAAAAGGTGTGGTAAGCGGAGGACATAATAGGAGACCGCATGGTGGTAATACGGGTTCAATATTGTAAGTATATGTTACACCAAATAATGAAAATAGAGAAAATGGACCAGACTATGGACTAGACTATAGACTAGTCTAGAGACTAGCCTATAGACCAGACTTTAGACTACACTATAGACTAGACTATACACTAGACTATATACTAGACTATACACTAGACTATACACTAGACTATAGACTAGACTATAGACTAGACTATAGACTATACTATAGACTAGATTATAGACTGGACTATAGGCTAGACTATAGGCTAGACTATAGACTAGACTATACACTAGACTATAGACTAGACTATAGACTAGACTATAGACTAGACTATAGACTAGACTATAGACTAGACTATAGACTAGACTATAGACTAGACTATAGACTAGACTATAGACTAGACTATAGACTAGACTATAGACTAGACTATAGACTAGACTATAGACTAGACTATAGACTAGACTATAGACTAGACTATAGACTAGACTATAGACTAGACTATAGACTAGACTATAGACTAGACTATAGACTAGACTATAGACTAGACTATAGACTAGACTATAGACTAGACTATAGACTAGACTATAGACTAGACTATAGACTAGACTATAGACTAGACTATAGACTAGACTATAGACTAGACTATAGACTAGACTATGACTAGACTATAGACTAGACTATAGACTAGACTATAGACTAACTATAGACTAGACTATAGACTAGACTATAGACTAGACTATAGACTAGACTATAGACTAGACTATAGCCTAGACTATAGACTAGACTATAGACTAGACTATAGACTTGACTATAGACTAGACTATAGACTAGACTATAGACTAGACTATAGACTAGACTATAGAGTAGACTATCGACTAGACTATAGACTAGACTATAGACTAGACTATAGACTACACTATAGACTACACTATAGACTACACTATAGACTAGACTATAGACTAGACTATGGACTAGACTATAGACTACACTATAGACTAGACTATAGACTAGACTATAGAAGAGACTATAGACTAGACTATATACTAGACTAAAGACTAGACTATAGACTAGACTATAGACTAGACTATAGACTATACTATAGACTAGACTATAGACTAGACTATAGACTAGACTATAGACTAGACTATAGACTAGACTATAGACTAGACTATAGACTAGACTATAGACTAGACTATAGACTAGACTATAGACTAGACTATAGACTAGACTATAGACTAGACTATAGACTAGACTATAGACTAGACTATAGACTAGACTATAGACTAGACTATAGACTAGACTATAGACTAGACTATAGACTAGACTATAGACTAGACTATAGACTAGACTATAGACTATAGACTATAGACTAGACTATAGACTAGACTATAGACTAGACTATAGACTAGACTATAGACTAGACTATAGACTAGACTATAGACTAGACTATAGACTAGACTATAGACTAGACTATAGACTAGACTATAGACTAGACTATAGACTAGACTATAGACTAGACTATAGACTAGACTATAGACTAGACTATAGACTAGACTATAGACTAGACTATAGACTAGACTATAGACTAGACTATAGACTAGACTATAGACTAGACTATAGACTAGACTATAGACTAGACTATAGACTAGACTATAGACTAGACTATAGACTAGACTATAGACTAGACTATAGATTAGACTATAGATTAGACTATAGATTAGACTATAGACTAGACTATAGACTAGACTATAGACTAGACTATAGACTAGACTATAGACTAGACTATAGACTAGACTATGGACTAGACTATAGACTAGACTATAGACTAGACTATAGACTAGCCTATAGACTAGCCTATAGACTAGACTATAGACTAGACTATAGACTAGACTATAGACTAGCCTATAGACTAGCCTATAGACTAGACTATAGACTAGACTATAGACTAGACTATAGACTAGACTATAGACTAGACTATAGACTAGACTATAGACTAGACTATAGACTAGACTATAGACTAGACTATAGACTAGACTATAGACTAGACTATAGACTAGACTATAGACTAGACTATAGACTAGACTATAGACTAGATATAGACTAGACTAGACTAGACTATAGACTAGACTATAGACTAGACTATAGACTAGACTATAGACTAGACTATAGACTAGACTATAGACTAGACTATAGACTAGACTATAGACTAGACTATAGACTAGACTATAGACTAGACTATAGACTAGACTATAGACTAGACTATAGACTAGACTATAGACTAGACTATAGACTAGACTATAGACTAGACTATAGACTAGACTATAGACTAGACTATAGACTAGACTATAGACTAGACTATAGACTAGACTATAGACTAGACTATAGACTAGACTATAGACTAGACTATAGACTAGACTATAGACTAGACTATAGACTAGACTATAGACTAGACTATGGAATAGACTATAGACTAGACTATAGACTAGACTATAGACTAGACTATAGACTAGACTATAGACTAGACTATAGACTAGACTATAGACTAGACTATAGACTAGACTAGATAGACTATAGACTAGACTATAGACTAGACTATAGACTAGACTATAGACTAGACTATAGACTAGACTATAGACTAGACTATAGACTAGACTATAGACTAGAATATAGACTAGACTATAGATAGACTAGACTAGATATAGACTAGACTATAGACTAGACTATAGACTAGACTATAGACTAGACTATAGACTAGACTATAGACTAGACTATAGACTAGACTATAGACTAGACTATAGACTAGACTATAGACTAGACTATAGACTAGACTATAGACTACTAGACTATAGACTAGACTATAGACTAGACTATAGACTAGACTATAGCTAGACTATAGACTAGACTATAGACTAGACTATAGACTAGACTATAGACTAGACTATAGACTAGACTATAGACTAGACTATAGACTAGACTATAGACTAGACTGTAGACTAGACTATAGACTAGACTATAGACTAGACTATAGACTAGACTATAGACTAGACTATAGACTACACTATAGACAAGACTATATACTAGACTATAGACTAGACTATAGACTAGACTATAGACTAGACTATAGACTAGACTTAAATAAATAAACTTTTTCATAACTTTAAGTTCCTCTCTTGCCAACTATAGTTCCTATTTAACTAGCAGTTTTCTTCTATAATTTAAAAACTTCATATTCAGTTAAATATAAGCTTTTATTTTATTATTGAAAAGATGGCAAGATAAATAAATTGTAACTTATACCTGCAACTATAGACAAACTTTGCACTCACTTTTTTCTTTTTTTTATTCCCATTTCCTTTTCCTTCTTTTTTTTGTTGAACTTATGCACTCGAATACTGTGTATATGTACACCTGTTCGTTCACTACCCCTGTAGAAGTATCTCTGAGGAATCTGGCATTGCTGGTTGTAGTGCTGCTTCGGTGCCATCAATTGAATTGAGTTCAGTGGCAGCAACGGATGCTGAAACTGAGACGGAAAGTTGGATTGCTGGTATAGAAAATGAAGAATCCATACAAGGTAAGTAAATATTCGAGAAGTTTTTTTTCTTTATATGTATAGGTAGGATATAAATACAATATAAGTAGAAGTATGTTGGATACAAAAACAAAATTTAAACTTTTAACAGGCAACAGGGTGTTGAGAAAGTGAGGTGTATTAGCAGTGAAACTTGAGAGAAAACAAATGTGTGTTAGTTGGGTTTAATAACGATTTAACTGCTTCCTGTCCTTAAAAACTTGTGCAGTATTTCACTTTAGCCTTTGTCTACTGTGAGCCCACTATTGAGTGGTTGCTGGAAGTTATTGAAATTCAAACTGTTGCCGCTTATCAATTGTATTGTATTGAAAAGTGATAAGGTGCAGGGAGGGGTGGATGCGAAAGCCACAGTGCGAAAAAAGTGTTTATTAAGCACTAATGATAACTGATATTTAGAGCGATAGTAATAGCCGTCAATTTCCACAATTGGCAACTATTCAAATTGAAATTATTTAATCGATTTTAATTGAATTAGTTGGAGATATGTCATCTTACGTGCCTGAGGATTGAGTATTCTGAATAAGAACTTTTATACATTTGTAAGGGGAGTTTGTTATTAATTTAATCAATTGTTTGTTTGAAAAGTGTCATAAATTAAGAATGTTTTAATAAATCAAATTGAACAAAATTTTATAAATAAAATTATTTAAAAGTGGATAAGGATTTCACAATTGATTAGTATTTTGTCTAGTCCTCAGATCACAGGCTACTCCACATAGTAGTCAATAGACCCCTAAAGGATGTTCTAAAACATTGTGTTTGTTATCATTCTAAACACTAACTACAGGCAATAACTAATCTCCATTGTCTTTTATACAAAAATTCCTTGAATTTTATTAAAAATATTATTTTAAAACTCTAAACTTCATTAATAACATATGTGCAATTTTAACATCCGCTTTATTTCGTGCGCATTTCAAATACATATAAACACAATTTCCACATAATTTTATAAATAAATCTACATCTACAGTATAAAATAATTTATGTATTTGCATATTGCAAAATAGTTATTTTATATACATACAAACCTGGCCTAAAGGTTCAAATACTATGCTGGTCGCATTTTATTTCACAGGATGTGTATTTAACGAATTTACCACTTGCAAAAAGCAAATACTAAAAGTTGCTTGTATATGTATATGTATGTGTATTGCAAAAACTAATAATTTATATTTAGTTTTCTATTGTTATAGTTTTTAGATCAACACTAAAATCCCGGTGGCCTTTAAAATGCATACGAAAAAAATAAAAAAGTTTTGTTTTCATTAGAAATCAATAGTTTTTGTTAGAAATTTGTTGAATTAAAATTGTAAATATTTAAGGGAAAGGGTGTAGAAAAAAGGGACTAAAGTCTAGACTATAGACTATTCTATAGTATAGTTTATAGTCTAGTCTATAGTCTAGCCTATAGTCTATAGTCTAGTCTCTATTCTAGTCTATAGTCTAGTCTATAGTCTAGTCTCTATTCAAGTCTATAGTCTAGTCTATAGTCTGTTCTATAGTCTAGTCTATAGTCTAGTCTATAGTCTAGTCTATGGTGTAGTCTATAGTCTAGTCTATGGTGTAGTCTATAGTCTAGTCTATAGTCTAGTCTATAGTCTAGTCTATAGTCTAGTCTATAGTCTAGTCTATAGTCTAGTCTATAGTCTAGTCTATAGTCTAGTCTATAGTCTAGCCTATAGTCTAGTCTATAGTCTAGTCTATAGTCTAGTCTATAGTCTAGTCTAAAGCCTAGCCTATAGTCTAGTCTATAGTCTAGTCTCTATTCTAGTCTATAGTCTAGTCTATAGTCTGATCTATAGTCTAGTCTGATCTATAGTCTAGTCTTTAGTCTAGTCTATAGTCTAGTCTATAGTCTAGTCTATAGTCTAGTCTATAGTCTAGCCTATAGTCTAGTCTATAGTCTAGTCTATAGTCTAGTCTATAGTCTAGTCTAAAGCCTAGCCTATAGTCTAGTCTATAGTCTAGTCTCTATTCTAGTCTATAGTCTAGTCTATAGTCTGATCTATAGTCTAGTCTGATCTATAGTCTAGTCTTTAGTCTAGTCTATAGTCTAGTCTATAGTCTAGTCTATAGTCTAGTCTATAGTCTAGTCTATAGTCTAGTCTATAGTCTAGTCTATAGTCTAGTCTATAGTCTAGTCTATAGTCTAGTCTATAGTCTAGTCTATAGTCTAGTCTATAGTCTAGTCTATAGTCTAGCCTATAGTCTAGTCTATAGTCTAGTCTATAGTCTAGTCTATAGTCTAGTCTATAGTCTAGTCTATAGTCTAGTCTATAGTCTAGTCTATAGTCTAGTCTATAGTCTAGTCTATAGTCTAGTCTATGGTCTAGTCTATAGTCTAGTCTATAGTCTAGTCTATAGTCTAGTCTATAGTCTAGTCTATAGTCTAGTCTATAGTCTAGTCTATAGTCTAGTCTATAGTCTAGTCTATAGTCTAGTCTATAGTCTAGTCTATAGTCTAGTCTATAGTCTAGTCTATAGTCTAGTCTATAGTCTAGTCTATAGTCTAGTCTAGTCTATAGTCTAGTCTATAGTCTAGTCTATAGTCTAGTCTATAGTCTAGTCTATAGTCTAGTCTATAGTCTAGTCTATAGTCTAGTCTATAGTCTAGTCTATAGTCTAGTCTATAGTCTAGTCTATAGTCTAGTCTATAGTCTAGTCTATAGTCAAGTCTATAGTCTAGTCTATAGTCTAGTCTATAGTCTAGTCTATAGTCTAGCCTATAGTCTAGTCTATAGTCTAGTCTATAGTCTAGTCTATAGTCTAGTCTATAGTCTAGTCTATAGTCTAGTCTATAGTCTAGTCTATAGTCTAGTCTATAGTCTAGTCTATAGTCTAGTCTATAGTCTAGTCTATAGTCTAGTCTATAGTCTATAGTCTAGTCTATAGTCTAGTCTATAGTCTAGTCTCTATTCTAGTCTATAGTCTAGTCTATAGTCTAGTCTATAGTCTAGTCTATAGTCTAGTCTATAGTCTAGTCTATAGTCTAGTCTATAGTCTAGTCTATAGTCTAGTCTATAGTCTAGTCTATAGTCTAGTCTATAGTCTAGTCTATAGTCTAGTCTATAGTCTAGTCTATAGTCTATAGTCTAGTCTATAGTCTAGTCTATAGTCTAGTCTATAGTCTAGTCTATAGTCTAGTCTATAGTCTAGTCTATAGTCTAGTCTATAGTCTAGTCTATAGTCTAGTCGATGGTCTAGTCTATAGTCTAGTCTATGGTTTAGTCTATAGTCTAGTCTATGGTCTAGTCTATTGTCTAGTCTGTAGTCTAGCCTAGTCTATAGTCTAGTCTATAGCCTAGTCTATAGTCTAGTCTATAGTCTAGTCTATAGTCTAGTCTATAGTCTAGTCTATAGTCTAGTCTATAGTCTAGTCTATAGTCTAGTCTATAGTCTAGTCTATAGTCTAGTCTATAGTCTAGTCTATAGTCTAGTCTATAGTCTAGTCTATAGTCTAGTCTATAGTCTAGTCTATAGTCTAGTCTATAGTCTAGTCTATAGTCTAGTCTATAGTCTAGTCTATAGTCTAGTCTATAGTCTAGTCTATAGTCTAGTCTATAATCTAGTCTATAGTCTAGTCTATAGTCTAGTCTATCGTCTAGTCTATAGTCTAGTCTATAGTCTAGTCTATAATCTAGTCTATAGTCTAGTCTATAGTCTAGTCTATAGTCTAGTCTATAGTCTAGTCTATAGTCTAGTCTATAGTCTAGTCTATAGTCTAGTCTATAGTCTAGTCTATAGTCTAGTCTATAGTCTAGTCTATAGTCTAGTCTATAGTCTAGTCTATAGTCTAGTCTATAGTCTAGTCTATAGTCTAGTCTATGGTCTAGTCTATAGTCTAGTCTATAGTCTATTCTATGGTCTAGTCTATAGTCTAGTCTATAGTCTAGTCTATAGTCTAGTCTATAGTCTAGTCTATAGTCTAGTCTATAGTCTAGTCTATAGTCTAGTCTATAGTCTAGTCTATAGTCTAGTCTATAGTCTAGTCTATAGTCTAGTCTATAGTCTAGTCTATAGTCTAGTCTATAGTCTAGTCTATAGTCTAGTCTATAGTCTAGTCTATAGTCTAGTCTATAGTCTAGTCTATAGTCTAGTCTATAGTCTAGTCTTTAGTCTAGTCTTTAGTCTAGTCTATAGTCTAGTCTATAGTCTAGTCTATAGTCTAGTCTACAGTCTAGTCTATAGTCTAGTCTATAGTATAGTCTAGTCTATAGTCTAGTCTATAGTCTAGTCTTTAGTCTAGTCTATAGTCTAGTCTATAGTCTAGTCTATAGTCTAGTCTACAGTCTAGTCTATAGTCTAGTCTATAGTATAGTCTAGTCTATAGTCTAGTCTATAGTCTAGTCTATAGTCTAGTCTATAGTCTAGTCTATAGTCTAGTCTATAGTCTAGTCTATAGTCTAGTCTATAGTCTAGTCTATAGTCTAGTCTATAGTCTAGTCTATAGTCTAGTCTATAGTCTAGTCTATAGTCTAGTCTATAGTCTAGTCTATAGTCTAGTCTATAGTCTAGTCTATAGTCTAGTCTATAGTCTAGTCTATAGTCTAGTCTATAGTCTAGTCTATAGTCTAGTCTATAGTCTAGTCATAGTCTAGTCTATAGTCTAGTCTATAGTCTAGTCTATAGTCTAGTCTATAGTCTAGTCTATAGTCTAGTCTATAGTCTAGTCTATAGTCTAGTCTATGGTGTAGGCTATAGTCTAGTCTATAGTCTAGTCTATAGTCTAGTCTATAGTCTAGTCTATGGTGTAGGCTGTAGTCTAGTCTAGTCTAGTCTATAGTCTAGTCTATAGTCTAGTCTATAGTCTAGTCTATAGTCTAGTCTATGGTCTAGTCTATGTCTAGTCTGTTGTCTAGTCTGTAGTGTAGCCTAGTCTATAGTTTAGTCTATAGTCTAGTTTATAGTCTAGTCTATAGTCTAGGCTATAGCCTAGGCTATAGTCTAGTCTATAGTCTAGTCTATAGTCTAGTCTATAGTCTAGTCTATAGTCTAGTCTATAGTCTAGTCTATAGTCTAGTCTATAGTCTAGTCTATAGTCTAGTCTATAGTCTAGTCTATAGTCTAGTCTATAGTCTAGTCTATAGTCTAGTCTATAGTCTAGTCTATAGTCTAGTCTATAGTCTAGTCTATAGTCTAGTCTATAGTCTAGTCTATAGTCTAGTCTATAGTCTAGTCTATAGTCTAGTCTATAGTCTAGTCTATAGTCTAGTCTATAGTCTAGTCTATAGTCTAGTCTATGGTCTAGTCTATAGTCTAGTCTATAGTCTAGTCTATAGTCTAGTCTATAGTCTAGTCTATAGTCTAGTCTATAGTCTAGTCTATAGTCTAGTCTATAGTCTAGTCTATAGTCTAGTCTATAGTCTAGTCTATAGTCTAGTCTATAGTCTAGTCTATAGTCTAGTCTATAGTCTAGTCTATAGTCTAGTCTATAGTCTAGTCTATAGTCTAGTCTATAGTCTAGTCTATAGTCTAGTCTATAGTCTAGTCTATAGTCTAGTCTATAGTCTAGTCTATAGTCTAGTCTATAGTCTAGTCTATAGTCTAGTCTATAGTCTAGTCTGTAGTCTAGTCTATAGTCTAGTCTATAGTCTAGTCTATAGTCTAGTCTATAGTCTAGTCTATAGTCTAGTCTATAGTCTAGTCTATAGTCTAGTCTATAGTCTAGTCTATAGTCTAGTCTATAGTCTAGTCTATAGTCTAGTCTAGTCTATAGTCTAGTCTAGTCTATAGTCTAGTCTAGTCTTTAGTCTAGTCTATAGTCTAGTCTATAGTCTAGTCTATAGTCTAGTCTATTGTCTAGTCTATAGTCTAGTCTATAGTCTAGTCTAGTCTATAGTCTAGTCTATAGTCTAGTCTATAGTCTAGTCTATAGTCTAGTCTAGTCTATAGTCTAGTCTAGTCTATAGTCTAGTCTAGTCTATAGTCTAGTCTATAGTCTAGTCTATAGTCTAGTATATAGTCTAGTCTATAGTCTAGTCTAGAGTCTAGTCTATAGTCTATTCTATAGTATAGTCTATTTTATATTCTATAGTCTATGGTCTACGCTATAGTTAGTTTATAGTCTAATTTATAGTCTAGTCTGTAGTCTAGTCCATAGTCTAGTCTATAGTACAGTCTATTGTCTAGTCCTGTACTCTAGTCTATAGTCTGGTCTATAGTCTAGTTTATATTCTAGTTTATAGTGTATAGTCTAACCGATAGTCTAGTCTATAGCATGGTTGTAGTTTCTTTCCGCGTTTTGCCACACCCCTGTTTACATTTGTAATAAATTCCCTCAAATAATCTAAAAATTATTATAAAAATATAAATTAATTTTTTTTTTTATGTTTTTCTCATATTTTACACAGATGCCAATATTGACTATAAATGTTGTTGTCCAACAATGGAAACAATTCAATAAAACAGGTGCTGATATAGCTAAAGCAAGTAATAAACAAAAACAGCAATACAGCAGTAGCAACAACAAAACATCAACAACCACCCACTACAAGTTATGATGTTGAACGTAAATATGGCAAAATACCGGCGGAAATATATTTGCTTTATTTACGTGCATCTGGTTTAACAATTGTTTTAATATTTTTCATCACGGCCCCTAATATGGCAAACATTGCGTGTTTATACGGATGTCTGGTTACAACACTGGACTGACGACAACATTTCATTCGAATCTTTTACAAAAAGCAACAGCAGCAGTTGCTACAAATGCCACAAAGAATATATCCGCACTACATGAGCAACAAATGAGCCACAAATATGCATCAACAACAATAGCAATGAGTGCATTTGCATTGCCATCTGCATCATCACTAGCTGGACGAGCAACAATGACAGAAAATGTAGAAAGTCATGAAGTCACGTATTATTTTCATATTTATGCTGCCATTTCGTGTGTTTGTATTCTGATGGCCATGTTATCAACGCCGGCTGGTCAATGGGCCGGCTGTAAAGCTCGTCAAAATTTGCATGATAAACTTTTACAGTCGATTATGCACAAGTCATTGCATTTTTTCAAATTACACCATTGGGTCGAATAATGAATAGGTTTAGTAATGATATGGCCATAATAGATAAGGTAAGTTGTTGGATGTTCTGAGGAAGAGAGAATACAAAAACCAACAGGGAAAACTGAATTAAAAAAAGAATGAAAATTTGAAATATATTAGGGAAACTCAGAATAATTCAGTTCTAGTTCAGTTCTAGTTCAGTTCTAGTTCAGTTCTAGTTCAGTTCTAGTTCAGCTCTAGTTCAGCTCTAGTTCAGTTCTAGTTCAGTTCTAGTTCAGTTCTAGTTCAGTTCTAGTTCAGTTTAGTTCAGTTCTAGTTCAGTTCTAGTTCAGTTCTAGTTCAGTTCTAGTTCAGTTCTAGTTCAGTTCTAGTTCAGTTCTAGTTCAGTTCTAGTTCAGTTCTAGTTCAGTTCTAGTTCAGTTCTAGTTCAGTTCTAGTTCAGTTCTAGTTCAGTTTAGTTCAGTTCTAGTTCAGTTCTAGTTCAGTTCTAGTTCAGTTCTAGTTCAGTTCTAGTTCAGTTCTAGTTCAGTTCTAGTTCAGTTCTAGTTCAGTTCTAGTTCAGTTCTAGTTCAGTTCTAGTTCAGTTCTAGTTCAGTTCTAGTTCAGTTCTAGTTCAGTTCTAGTTCAGTTCTAGTTCAGTTCTAGTTCAGTTCTAGTTCAGTTCTAGTTCAGTTCTAGTTCAGTTCTAGTTCAGTTCTAGTTCAGTTCTAGTTCAGTTCTAGTTCAGTTCTAGTTCTAGTTCAGTTCTAGTTCAGTTCTAGTTCAGTTCTAGTTCAGTTCTAGTTCAGTTTTAGTTCAGTTCTAGTTCAGTTCTAGTTCAGTTCTAGTTCAGTTCTAGTTCAGTTCTAGTTCAGTTCTAGTTCAGTTCTAGTTCAGTTCTAGTTCAGTTCTAGTTCAGTTCTAGTTCAGTTCTAGTTCAGTTCTAGTTCAGTTCTAGTTCAGTTCTAGTTCAGTTCTAGTTCAGTTCTAGTTCAGTTCTAGTTCAGTTCTAGTTCAGTTCTAGTTCAGTTCTAGTTCAGTTCTAGTTCAGTTCTAGTTCAGTTCTAGTTCAGTTCTAGTTCAGTTCTAGTTCAGTTCTAGTTCAGTTCTAGTTCAGTTCTAGTTCAGTTCTAGTTCAGTTCTAGTTCAGTTCTAGTTCAGTTCTAGTTCAGTTCTAGTTCAGTTCTAGTTCAGTTCTAGTTCAGTTCTAGTTCAGTTCTAGTTCAGTCTAGTTCAGTCTAGTTCAGTTCTAGTTCAGTTCTAGTTCAGTTCTAGTTCAGTTCTAGTTCAGTTCTAGTTCAGTTCTAGTTCAGTTCTAGTTCAGTTCTAGTTCAGTTCTAGTTCAGTTCTAGTTCAGTTCTAGTTCAGTTCTAGTTCAGTTCTAGTTCAGTTCTAGTTCAGTTCTAGTTCAGTTCTAGTTCAGTTCTAGTTCAGTTCTAGTTCAGTTCTAGTTCAGTTCTAGTTCAGTTCTAGTTCAGTTCTAGTTCAGTTCTAGTTCAGTTCTAGTTCAGTTCTAGTTCAGTTCTAGTTCAGTTCTAGTTCAGTTCTAGTTCAGTTCTAGTTCAGTTCGTTCAGTTCTAGTTCAGTTCTAGTTCAGTTCTAGTTCAGTTCTAGTTCAGTTCTAGTTCAGTTCTAGTTCAGTTCTAGTTCAGTTCAGTTAGTTCAGTTCTAGTTCAGTTCTAGTTCAGTTCTAGTTCAGTTCTAGTTCAGTTCTAGTTCAGTTCTAGTTCAGTTCTAGTTCAGTTCTAGTTCAGTTCTAGTTCAGTTCTAGTTCAGTTCTAGTTCAGTTTCTAGTTCAGTTCAGTTCTAGTTCAGTTCTAGTTCAGTTCTAGTTCAGTTCAGTTCATTCTAGTTCAGTTCAGTTCTAGTTCAGTTCTAGTTCAGTTCTAGTTCAGTTCAGTTCTAGTTCAGTTCAGTTCAGTTCTAGTTCAGTTCTAGTTCAGTTCTAGTTCAGTTCTAGTTCAGTTCTAGTTCAGTTCAGTTCTAGTTCAGTTCTAGTTCAGTTCTAGTTCAGTTCTAGTTCAGTTCTAGTTCAGTTCTAGTTCAGTTCTAGTTCAGTTCTAGTTCAGTTCTTCTAGTTCAGTTCTAGTTCAGTTCTAGTTCAGTTCTAGTTCAGTTCTAGTTCAGTTCTAGTTAATTCAAGTTTTGTTTCCTGGAATCCCCTTAGTTATCTTATTTTTAAAATTTTTGATTTTTTACTTTTTTGTTTAGAAAATTGCTGCTACCAGCCAACGTTTGTTACAATTCACTTTATGTGTCTGTGTGCCATTCTACAATGTTATATTACCCCTGGTTTATGGTAGTGACCATTCCTGTCTGTCTGGCTTATTATGCCATTCAAAAGTTCTATAGATGTTCCTCCAGGTAAGTTAAACAAAATGTCAAGTTTAATTTTGTTGCCAAAAGTTTGAAAATTACCAAAAAAAAAAAATAAATAAAAAAAAAAATTAAACAGATTAAATAGGTATTAACAGCTCAATAAAATTTAAATAAATACTAATTTATTTTATAAAGTTTATAAAGCTATTAACCTTTCTAAAGAAATTTTATTTAAAGCATATTAAGAAATAATTTCTTTTTTTTATTCTGGGGACTAGAACTTTTAATGTTCACTGAATTTGTATCAACATCATTTGATTTTCTGAAAAAAATGTGCACAAAATCAACATCAACTTAATTAAAAATTTATGCAGCTAAAAAGTCTAGACAAAGTTTTTAATCAAATTATGAAACATCAAAATAAAATACACATTATTTTTTTTACTTATAAATAATATGAAAAATGCATTAGTAAATAAATATAAATTTGTTAACAAAAAACTAAACTATTTTTGCCAACTAAACTATTAGTTAAACTTCAACGACAAGCAACTCAGTTTTCTTTAAGCAATAACAACAACCAACTGCTGCAAATTAAGTGCAATTGTTACTATTTCCTTTCCGCCACAGAAGTTTTCAAACAAATACAGTTCTACTGTTTGTAACTGGCAATATAAATGAACACGTTAAATACATAAGTGCCAAAAACGGGTTAAAGCACGCACAGAATTGTTTCGTTTTTATTTCTATTTGTCAATAGTTTTTAGTTTCCTTCGCTGTTTCCGGTTTTCTGTTTTTTTCTTCATGAACGCAAATAATGGCAGGAAGTAAAAAAGTTTTTAAACAAAGTATTATTAGTTCAAATTTGACAAGTATGATTGTGCATAATTTTTTGTTTTACACAAAAGTTGCTAAATATTTTGTTGTGTTTTAAAACACACAGAAGATGGAACTATTTTGTAAAACTTACATATTATTTATTTAATTATTTTTGTTTTTTTACAATTATGCTTTATTTAGTTACTTTGTTTTTGAAATTTGTAACTTTTTTCATTTATTTAATTGTGATCCACTACGTATGAGTAATAAAATGCAATTAAAGAAAATTAAACATCCATCATACGCAATGATGAACACAAAAGGGCAGTAAGCTAAATGAAAATATAATAGAAAAACTACATATTTATACAAACACCTTAAAATCCTAGTCTATAGTCTAGTCTATAGTCTAGTCTATAGTCTAGTCTATAGTCTAGTCTGTAGTCTAGTCTGTAGTCTAGTCTGTAGTCTAGTCTATAGTCTAGTCTATAGTCTGGCCTATAGTCTAGTCTATAGTCTAGTCTATAGTCTAGTCTATAGTCTAGTCTATAGTCTAGTCTATAGTCTAGTCTATAGTCTAGTCTATTCTAGTCTATAGTCTAGTCTATAGTCTAGTCTATAGTCTAGTCTATAGTCTAGTCTATAGTCTAGTCTATAGTCTAGTCTATAGTCTAGTCTATAGTCTAGTCTGTAGTCTAGTCTATAGTCTAGTCTATAGTCTAGTCTATAGTCTAGTCTATAGTCTAGTCTATAGTCTAGTCTATAGTCTAGTCTATAGTCTAGTCTATAGTCTAGTCTATAGTCTAGTCTATAGTCTAGTCTATAGTCTAGTCTATAGTCTAGTCTATAGTCTAGTCTATAGTCTAGTCTATAGTCTAGTCTATAGTCTAGTCTATAGTCTAGTCTTAGTCTAGTCTATAGTCTAGTCTTTAGTCTAGTCTTAGTCTAGTCTATAGTCTAGTCTATAGTCTAGTCTATAGTCTAGTCTATAGTCTAGTCTATAGTCTAGTCTACAGTGTAGTCTACAGTCTAGTCTATAGTCTAGTCTACAGTGTAGTCTACAGTGTAGTCTATAGTCTAGTCTATAGTCTAGTCTATAGTCTAGTCTATAGTCTAGTCTATAGTCTAGTCTATAGTCTAGTCTATAGTCTAGTCTAAGTCTAGTCTATAGTCTAGTCTATAGTCTAGTCTATAGTCTAGTCTATAGTCTAGTCTATAGTCTAGTCTTAGTCTAGTCTATAGTCTAGTCTATAGTCTAGTCTATAGTCTAGTCTATAGTCTAGTCTATAGTCTAGTCTATAGTCTAGTCTATAGTCTAGTCTATAGTCTAGTCTATAGTCTAGTCTATAGTCTAATCTATAGTCTAGTCTATAGTTTAGTCTATAGTCTAGTCTATAGTCTAGTCTATAGTCTAGTCTATAGTCTAGTCTATAGTCTAGTCTATAGTCTAGTCTAGTCTGGTCTATAGTCTAGTCTATAGTCTAGTCTATAGTCTAGTCTATATCTAGTCTATAGTCTAGTCTATAGTATAGTCTATAGTATAGTCTATAGTCTAGTCTATAGTCTAGTCTATAGTCTAGTCTATAGTCTAGTCTTTAGTCTAGTCTATAGTCTAGTCTATAGTCTAGTCTTTAGTCTAGTCTATAGTCTAGTCTATAGTCTAGTCTATAGTCTAGTCTATAGTCTAGTCTATAGTCTAGTCTATAGTCTAGTCTATAGTCTAGTCTATAGTCTAGTCTATAGTCTAGTCTATAGTCTAGTCTATAGTCTAGTCTATAGTCTAGTCTATAGTCTAGTCTATAGTCTAGTCTATAGTCTAGTCTATAGTCTAGTCTATAGTCTAGTCTATAGTCTAGTCTATAGTCTAGTCTATAGTCTAGTCTATAGTCTAGTCTATAGTCTAGTCTATAGTCTAGTAGTCTATAGTCTATCTAGTCTAGTCTATAGTCTAGTCTATAGTCTAGTCTATAGTCTAGTCTATAGTCTAGTCTATAGTCTAGTCTATAGTCTAGTCTATAGTCTAGTCTATAGTCTAGTCTATAGTCTAGTCTATAGTCTAGTCTATAGTCTAGTCTATAGTCTAGTCTATAGTCTAGTCTATAGTCTAGTCTATAGTCTAGTCTATAGTCTAGTCTATAGTCTAGTCTATAGTCTAGTCTATAGTCTAGTCTATAGTCTAGTCTATAGTCTAGTCTATAGTCTAGTCTATGTCTAGTCTATAGTCTAGTCTATAGTCTAGTCTATAGTCTAGTCTACAGTCTAGTCTGTAGTCTAGTTTAGTCTATAGTCTAGTCTATAGTCTAGTCTATAGTCTAGTCTATAGTCTAGTCTATAGTCTATAGTCTAGTCTATAGTCTAGTCTATAGTCTAGTCTATAGTCTAGTCTATAGTCTAGTCTATAGTCTAGTCTATAGTCTAGTCTATAGTCTAGTCTATAGTCTAGTCATAGTCTAGTCTATAGTCTAGTCTATAGTCTAGTCTATAGTCTAGTCTATAGTCTAGTCTGTAGTCTAGTCTATAGTCTAGTCTATAGTCTAGTCTATAGTCTAGCTATAGTCTAGTCTATAGTCTAGTCTATAGTCTAGTCTATAGTCTAGTCTATAGTCTAGTCTATAGTCTAGTCTATAGTCTAGTCTATAGTCTAGTCTATAGTCTAGTCTATAGTCTAGTCTATAGTCTAGTCTCTATAGTCTATAGTCTAGTCTATAGTCTAGTCTATAGTCTAGTCTAGTCTATAGTCTAGTCTATAGTCTAGTCTAGTCTAGTCTATAGTCTAGTCTATAGTCTAGTCTATAGTCTAGTCTATAGTCGAGTCTATAGTCTAGTCTATAGTCTAGTCTATAGTCTAGTCTATAGTCTAGTCTATAGTCTAGTCTATAGTCTAGTCTATTGTCTAGTCTATAGTCTAGTCTATAGTCTAGTCTATAGTCTAGTCTATAGTCTAGTCTATAGTCTATCTATAGTCTAGTCTATAGTCTAGTCTATAGTCTAGTCTATAGTCTAGTCTAGTCTAGTCTATAGTCTAGTCTATAGTCTAGTCTATAGTCTAGTCTATAGTCTAGTCTATAGTCTAGTCTATAGTCTAGTCTATAGTCTAGTCTATAGTCTAGTCTATAGTCTAGCCTATAGTCTAGTCTATAGTCTAGTCTATAGTCTAGTCTATAGTCTAGTCTATAGTCTAGTCTATAGTCCTGTCTATAGTCTAGTCTATAGTCTAGTCTAGTCTATAGTCTAGTCTATAGTCTAGTCTATAGTCTAGTCTAGTCTATAGTCTAGTCTATAGTCTAGTTTCTGTTTAGTCTTTGGTCGAGTCTTTTGTGTAGTCTATAGTCAGATCTGTAGTCTAGACTATAGTTTATTATCTAGGTTTTATCTAGTTTATTCTCTAATATCTTGTATTTTTGTTTATGTCGTTATTTTCTTTCTAAATGAAAACTTTAAATTAAATTTCTCTTTTTAAATACATCTTCTCGCCCTTTTAAACAATCAAATCCTTAAGTTTTGTCTTGTTTTATCCATATGTTTGCGGCACACATACATTATGTGGGGAATAGATTCCTGTATCCCTATTTGTAGTTGTGTGTTGTTAGTTACCATATTATCATTATTTGTTGCTTAAACATGTTTACATTACTTAAGTTTTCTTTCTTTATATGTTCCCTTTGTAGTTTCTTCATCAGTAGGGAAAAGTAAGAAATAAATTGTCTTTGAAAGAAAAAAAGGAAAAACAGGAACTTTCTTCAAACTATTCTTGTTTAGTAATAATAAAAACTACACTTTAACTTTTAGTTTGGGGTATACATATATCTAGGAAAACATGTACTCTATTTGCTAGAGAGAGTGTAGGAGTTTAAAAGAAATAAAAATCCCTTTGTGGTTGTCGATTGTGTTATTGTTGGGTCTTAGTTTGTTTAAGTTTTTTGTTGTTCTACAAAGTATTATTGCAATAATGTTCGCCATTGTTGTTGTTGCTGCTACTGTTGCATGTTATGCATATTTTATGAGTTTTTTTAAGAGTAAATGGTTATTGAAGTCTGCTAGTGATTGTCGAGGGAAAACATAATTTTTGAGGCGGAAATTAATCTTGCGCAGGATGTTTTGTAATTTAGATTTTCTATAATTTCTTATTCACACATACATACATATATCTTTTACTTTTTATTAATACTCCTTTATTGTTTGTTTTTCTTGTTGCTGTTTATAGAGAATTACAACGTATTGAAAATGCCACCAACTCACCAGTGATATCACATCTATCGGAAACCATACAAGGTGTAACAACAATACGTGCCTACAATCAAGAGTCACGTTTTACAGAAATCCTCTTTCGAACGACTTGAAGAAAATACAATTGCATTTACCATATTGAATACCAGTAATCGTTGGTTGGGTATATCATTGGTAAGTGGTAAAATAAGATTTTAAAAACATGTTCTTATGTCATTACAAACATATACATAAATGTGTTGTATATCCTGCCAGATCTTTACCTTACTCCTCTGGCAAATATTAAGCCATGAAGTCATTCATTTAAAACACAATTAGGAAATTTCTAAACAAATTCTTAATATTTAAACAAACTAGTTTAACAACATTTCATGTTGCCATTTTTCTTCCTTTTTTACATCTCCCCGGCTCCTCATCTAAATTTCTTAACAGTTCCGTAAGAATATTTTGCCAGAACTTCTTTATTTGTAACTAATTTTTTAAATAAAAAATAGCAAAACTGTCTACAACAGCTGTTATAAATGTAGAAACGTGTTGGGGTTTTAAAAGGCCAACATAAGTATTTTTATTTGTTTTTGTTATAATTTTATGTTCAAAATTAAATTGTAGTTACATGTTTTCTTATAGTTTCCCAGTGCGAGAAAATAATATAGAACACCTTACAAAATAGTTATTTTTGGTAAAAACTGTTCAAAGGAATTAAAAATTTGTAACAAAAACACAGGTGCTTTTAAGTCATAAATTATAGTAAAATTTGGAACTTGTTAAATCATTAAATAATAGTTATTAAAAGATTGTTATTATTTGAGAGAATGTGCTCATTTGCGTATGAGTAATAATAGGAAGTTTAGGAAAAATTTATATAAATCATACGCACTATGTACATAGTAAAACTGAACTGAACTAGAACAAAACCCAAAACTGAACTAGAACAGTACTAGAACTAAAACCATAACTGAACTAGAACAGTACTAGAACATAAAACCATAACTGAACTAGAACTGAACTAGAACTAGAACTGAACTAGAACTGAACTAGAACTGAACTAGAACTGAACTAGAACTGAACTAGAACTGAACTAGAACTAAACTGAACTAGAACTGAACTAGAACTGAACTAGAACTGAACTAGAACTGAACTAGAACTGAACTAGAACTGAACTAGAACTGAACTAGAACTGAACTAGAACTGAACTAGAACTGAACTAGAACTGAACTAGAACTGACTAGAACTGAACTAGAACTGAACTAGAACTGAACTAGAACTGACTAGACTGAACTAGAACTGAACTAGAACTGAACTAGAACTGAACTAGAACTGAACTAGAACTGAACTAGAACTGAACTAGAACTGAACTAGAACTGAACTAGAACTGAACTAGAACTGAACTAGAACTGAACTAGAACTGAACTAGAACTGAACTAGAACTGAACTAGAACTGAACTAGAACTGAACTAGAACTGAACTAGAACTGAACTAGAACTGAACTAGAACTGAACTAGAACTGAACTAGACTGAACTAGAACTGAACTAGAACTGAACTAGAACTGAACTAGAACTGAACTAGACTGAACTAGAACTGAACTAGAACTGAACTAGAACTGAACTAGAACTGAACTAGAACTGAACTAGAACTGAACTAGAACTGAACTAGAACTGAACTAGAACTGAACTAGAACTGAACTAGAACTGAACTAGAACTGAACTAGAACTGAACTAGAACTGAACTAGAACTGAACTAGAACTGAACTAGAACTGAACTAGAACTGACAACTGAACTAGAACTGAACTAGAACTGAACTAGAACTGAACTAGAACTGAACTAGAACTGAACTAGAACTGAACTAGAACTGAACTAGAACTGAACTAGAACTGAACTAGAACTGAACTAGAACTGAACTAGAACTGAACTAGAACTGAACTAGACTGAACTAGAACTGAACTAGAACTGAACTAGAACTGAACTAGAACTGAACTAGAACTGAACTAGAACTGAACTAGAACTGAACTAGAACTGAACTAACTGACTAAACTGAACGAACTGAACTAGAACTGAACTAGAACGAACTAGAACTGAACTAGAACTGAACTAGAACTGAACTAGAACTGAACTAGAACTGAACTAGAACTGAACTAGAACTGAACTAGAACTGAACTAGAACTGAACTAGAACTGAACTAGAACTGAACTAGAACTGAACTAGAACTGAACTAGAACTGAACTAGAACTGAACTAGAACTGAACTAGAACTGAACTAGAACTGAACTAGAACTGAACTAGAACTGAACTAGAACTGAACTAGAACTGAACTAGAACTGAACTAGAACTGAACTAGAACTGAACTAGAACTGAACTAGAACTGAACTAGAACTGAACTAGAACTGAACTAGAACTGAACTAGAACTGAACTAGAACTGAACTAGAACTGAACTAGAACTGAACTAGAACTGAACTAGAACTGAACTAGAACTGAACTAGAACTGAACTAGAACTAGAACTGAACTAGAACTGAACTAGAACTGAACTAGAACTGAACTAGAACTGAACTAGAACTGAACTAGAACTGAACTAGAACTGAACTAGAACTGAACTAGAACTGAACTAGAACTGAACTAGAACTGAACTAGAACTGAACTAGAACTGAACTAGAACTGAACTAGAACTGAACTAGAACTGAACTAACTGAACTAGAACTGAACTAGAACTGAACTAGAACTGAACTAGAACTGAACTAGAACTGAACTAGAACTGAACTAGAACTGAACTAGAACTGAACTAGAACTGAACTAGAACTGAACTAGAACTGAACTAGAACTGAACTAGAACTGAACTAGAACTGAACTAGAACTGAACTAGAACTGAACTAGAACTGAACTAGAACTGAACTAAACTGAACTGAACTAGAACTGAACTAGAACTGAACTAGAACTGAACTAGAACTGAACTGAACGAACTGAACTAGAACTGAACTAGAACTGAACTAGAACTGAACTATAACTGAACTAGAACTGAACTAGAACTGAACTATAACTGAACTAGAACTGAACTAGAACTGAACTAGAACTGAACTAGAACTAGAACTGAACTAGAACTGAACTAGAACTGAACTAGAACTGAACTAGAACTGAACTAGAACTGAACTAGAACTGAACTAGAACTGAACTAGAACTGAACTAGAACTGAAACTAGAACTAGAACTGAACTAGAACTGAACTAGAACTGAACTAGAACTGAACTAGAACTGAACTAGAACTGACTAGAACTGAACTAGAACTGAACTAGAACTGAACTAGAACTGAACTAGAACTGAACTAGAACTGAACTAGAACTGAACTAGAACTGAACTAGAACTGAACTAGAACTGAACTAGAACTGAACTAGAACTGAACTAGAACTGAACTAGAACTGAACTAGAACTGAACTGAACTGAACACTAGAACTGAACTAGAACTGAACTAGAACTGAACTAGAACTGAACTAGAACTGAACTAGACTGAACGAGAACTGAACAGAACTGAACTAGAACTGAACTAGAACTGAACTAGAACTGAACTAGAACTGAACTAGAACTGAACTAGAACTGAACTAGAACTGAACTAGAACTGAACTAGAACTGAACTAGAACTGAACTAGAACTGAACTAGAACTGAACTAGAACTGAACTAGAACTGAACTAGAACTGAACTAGAACTGAACTAGAACTGAACTAGAACTGAACTAGAACTGAACTAGAACTGAACTAGAACTGAACTAGAACTGAACTAGAATCTGAACTAGATCTGAACTAGAACTGAACTAGAGCCAAACTAAATCTGGAGAATAACTCTTATAATTTAATTTTATAAATTTTAGATAAAAATTAATAGAAAACACAAGTATTATTTTCTCCTTTTCTTTATTTCTATGTTAACAAACAATAGGATTACCTAGGTGGTGTGATTGTATTTGTGGCCATAGTGACAGCTTTATTTGGCGGCAACAATTGCCTGTAACAACTATAGTAAACAAGTTGATCAACAGCAGTACAACAGTGACAATAATAAACACTCGGTGACAAGCGATACAATAGCGACATTGTTGCCCCTGACACCGACACCATCTTTGGTTGGTTTGGCCATAAACTATACGCTGTTGATGCCAATTTATTTGAATTGGGTTTGTAAAACTTTTGGCCGACATGGAAATGTATGTTGGTTCCGTAGAACGTATTGCTTATTATGCTGAAGAAGCTACAGAGAATATGGAAGATGTTGAGGAAAAGAAATTAGGGCACAAAGAGGAAGAAGAAGAAACAACTCATAAAAATGAAAATGAAGCTAGTAAAGATAATAAGAGGAGCAGCAGATAAATGTCAGTTGCGCCAGCAACAACAATTCCAAAGAGTGCATGTTAACAAACCCTGCTACTGCTGGCCCGCAAGAAAATAATAAAGATATTGTAACTGGTCTTCTATCAAAGTCTCCAGCTTCCACAGACAACAATGATAATGGTTGTTTAACTTGCCTGCAAATAATAATAAACAACAACTGACAACATGTCGATACAATACAACATGCCACAACAACTACAGCTGATGATGATGATGCCCATCATCATCTTACTAATGATGGACAGATTGCAGCAGTAACCACAAAAACTTTTGCAAATAAACTAAAAACAACAATAGCTGGAGCAGCAGGAACAGAAACTGGATCAACAGCAGAATGTGATGACAACATGACAGGAAAACAATTGCAACATCATCACCGACAACATCACCAACAACTGCCATGAACATTAAGTCAAAGAAGTGTTCAACATCTTCTAACTCGAACACATCGTCGAAGCCATTAGAACGTAATGATGCAGAACGAAGAGCCAGTGTGCGACGTTTGGCCAAGTGTAAAAAACAATGTAAGTAGAGGAATTTATTAAAATGTTGCGTTTACACTAACCAATGCAAAGACTGTTTTAGTCTAGTCTGTAGTCTAGTTTATAGTCTAGTCTATAGTCTAGTCTATAGTCTAGTCTATAGTCTAGTCTATAGTCTAGTCTATAGTCTATCTATAGTCTAGTCTATAGTCTAGTCTATAGTCTAGTCTATAGTCTAGTCTATAGTCTAGTCTATAGTCTAGTCATAGTCTAGTCTATAGTCTAGTCTATAGTCTAGTCTATAGTCTAGTCTATAGTCTAGTCTATAGTCTAGTCTATAGTCTAGTCTATAGTCTAGTCATAGTCTAGTCTATAGTCTAGTCTATAGTCTAGTCTATAGTCTAGTCTATAGTCTAGTCCATAGTCTAGTCTATAGTCTAGTCTATAGTCTAGTCTATAGTCTAGTCTATAGTCTAGTCTATAGTCTAGTCTATCTAGTCTATAGTCTAGTCTATAGTCTAGTCTATAGTCTAGTCTATAGTCTATCTATAGTCTAGTCTATAGTCTAGTCTATAGTCTAGTCTATAGTCTAGTCTATAGTCTAGTCTATAGTCTAGTCTAGTCTAGTCTATAGTCTAGTCTATAGTCTAGTCTATAGTCTAGTCTATAGTCTAGTCTATAGTCTAGTCTATAGTCTAGTCTATCTAGTCTATAGTCTAGTCTATAGTCTAGTCTATAGTCTAGTCTATAGTCTAGTCTATAGTCTAGTATATAGTCTAGTCTATAGTCTAGTCTAGTCTATAGTCTAGTCTATAGTCTAGTCTATAGTCTAGTCTATAGTCTAGTCTATAGTCTAGTCTATAGTCTAGTCTATAGTCTAGTCTATAGTCTAGTCTATAGTCTAGTCTATAGTCTAGTCTATAGTCTAGTCTATAGTCTAGTCTATAGTCTAGTCTATAGTCTAGTCTATAGTCTAGTCTATAGTCTAGTCTATAGTCTAGTCTATAGTCTAGTCTATAGTCTAGTCTATAGTCTAGTCTAGTCTAGTCTATAGTCTAGTCTATAGTCTAGTCTATAGTCTAGTCTATAGTCTAGTCTAGTCTAGTCTAAGTCTAGTCTATAGTCTAGTCTATAGTCTAGTCTATAGTCTAGTCTATAGTCTAGTCTATAGTCTAGTCTATAGTCTAGTCTATAGTCTAGTCTATAGTCTAGTCTATAGTCTAGTCTATAGTCTAGTCTATAGTCTAGTCTATAGTCTAGTCTATAGTCTAGTCTATAGTCTAGTCTATAGTCTAGTCTATAGTCTAGTCTATAGTCTAGTCTATAGTCTAGTCTATAGTCTAGTCTATAGTCTAGTCTATAGTCTAGTCTATAGTCTAGTCTATAGTCTAGTCTATAGTCTAGTCTATAGTCTAGTCTATAGTCTAGTCTATAGTCTAGTCTATAGTCTAGTCTATAGTCTAGTCTATAGTCTAGTCTATAGTCTAGTCTTATAGTCTAGTCTAGTCTATAGTCTAGTCTATAGTCTAGTCTATAGTCTAGTCTATAGTCTAGTCTAGTCTATATTCTAGTCTATAGTCTAGTCTATAGTCTAGTCTAGTCTATATTCTAGTCTATAGTCTAGTCTATAGTCTATAGTCTAGTCTAGTCTATAGTCTAGTCTAGTCTATATTCTAGTCTATAGTCTAGTCTATAGTCTAGTCTATAGTCTAGTCTATAGTCTAGTCTATAGTCTAGTCTATAGTCTAGTCTATAGTCTAGTCTATAGTCTAGTCTATAGTCTAGTCTAGTCTATAGTCTAGTCTATAGTCTAGTCTATCTATAGTCTAGTCTAGTCTAGCCTAGTCTAGTCTATAGTCTAGTCTAGTCTAGTCTAGTCTATAGTCTAGTCTATAGTCTAGTCTATATCTAGTCTATAGTCTAGTCTATAGTCTAGTCTATAGTCTAGTCTATAGTCTAGTCTATAGTCTACTCTATAGTCTAGTCTATAGTCTAGTCTATAGTCGTCTATAGTCTAGTCTATAGTCTATATATAGACTAGTCCATAGTCCATTATATAGTCTAGAATGTTCTAGTTCTAGTTCTGTTCGAGTTCAGTTCTAGTTCAGTTCTAGTTCAGTTCTAGTTCAGATCTAGTTCAGATCTAGTTCAGTTCTAGTTTAGTTCTAGTTCAGTTCTAGTTCAGTTCTAGTTCAGTTCTAGTTCAGTTCTAGTTCAATTCTAGTTCATTCTAGTTCAGTTCTAGTTCAGTTCTAGTTCAGTTCTAGTTCAGTTCTAGTTCAGTTCTAGTTCAGTTCTAGTTCAGTTCTAGTTCAGTTCTAGTTCAGTTCTAGTTCAGTTCTAGTTCAGTTCTAGTTCAGTTCTAGTTCAGTTCTAGTTCAGTTCTAGTTCAGTTCTAGTTCAGTTCTAGTTCAGTTATAGTTCAGTTATAGTTCAGTTCTAGTTCAGTTCTAGTTCAGTTCTAGTTCAGTTCTAGTTCAGTTCTAGTTCAGTTCTAGTTCAGTTCTAGTTCATTCTAGTTCAGTTCTAGTTCAGTTCTAGTTCAGTTCTTCAGTTCTAGGTCAATTCTAGTTCAGTTCTAGTTCAGTTCTAGTTCAGTTCTAGTTCAGTTTTAGTTCTGTTCTAGTTCTGATTTGTCTTAACTTTCTTGAGTTTTTTTCACCGCCAGTGTAGACGTCTAAGGATATTTCCTTAGATATAAGAAGAGGACAAATAAACCTTTAGGTATTAGTTCATTTGTTTTTGTTTTGTTGTTTACTTTCTTTTTAAATTTATTTCCAAGAATGAGCGAAATATATGTCTGTCTGTCTGACTGCTGGTATGTTTGGGTGAATAAAATGATATTTTTAGCACAAGGGGTTAGTCTAAAACTTGTTTGTTATTTTGTTTTACGTTGGAAAGAGTACAAGGATGTAGGTGGGGATATGTATGTGAGTTTTTGTTTGTGTGCATATTAGTTCAATTTCAAGGTAAGTTTAATGGCTAAAGTTTATGGGTAAAAATTGTTTGACTTTGTTTGCAACCTGCTGTGTTAGGATTTCAGAAATTGTATTAGTGTATGTGTGGGGTAGTCGGGAATTTATAAATTTTAGTTATGTGAGAGGAAGTAAAAGAAAGTGAGTGTGTAAAGTAGCATGAGTGGCAATATCAACATTAAACCAGTGCATTTAACTGCTTATTTATAGTTCAACTTTTTTGTAATGCAATTAGCCAACAAATTAAGAATTATCTAGAAAATAAGGGGAACAAATGAAAATTTTAATTTAAACGAAGAGTAAACTTAATGAATATATTTTATTATGATATTGTTAACTTTAACTAAGTATTACTTTTTTAAATATTATTGAAAAGTTTCTTGCATCCATTGATATGTCTATTTGTGCAATTTCCGTTTTAAAAGTTGACTTTGATTTCTATAACAAATTTCATAACAGTATTATCGATTTTAAAGCAAATAAAACATTTTTACAATTTTGTTAAAAAAGTTTTATATAATTTCTTTGACTCCCTTTTTAAACTTTAAATACAAACATAAATCATTTCTTTTTTGTGTCCTTGCTTTAATTTGGTTTGTTGCATATTATATTTTACAATTTCTTTAATTTAATTTTTTTGTTGAATTCTTTTTAAATATTTATTAGTATTTTACTTTCATGTTTATTTTAATATATTTGCTTTTCTATTTCGTTCTTTTGACTGACACATTTTGTGGTTGGAAAACAATAAATCTTTGAGCAAAACTTTTTTCTGTTGCGTCCGCCATTTCGTTTGGCTAACTGTTTTTTAACTAAGCATATCCTGTTTGAACAGTTTTTCTTTTATTTTTTTGATCTACCATCATAGACATTTTTTGCAATTGCTGTTTGATGTTCCCTGAAGGTTTGAAAAGAGATATAGTTGGTTAATTGTGTAATATGTTACATCGTAAAGCACAATTTTTTTCAGAGTATATAATTTGTTTGTTCTACAGATGGAAAAATGTTTTTCAGGCGATTTTTTTAGAAAAATGTTTATAGTTGGAAACAATAACAAATAATAGTTTTTCTGGTGTTTTAAAGTTTGTGACTACTTAAGCGATTTAATATAGATTTTTTAGTTCTGTTCTAGTTCTAGTTCTGTTCTAGTTCTGTTCTAGTTCTGTTCTAGTTCTGTTCTAGTTCTGTTCTAGTTCTGTTCTAGTTCTGTTCTAGTTCTGTTCTAGTTCTGTTCTAGTTCTGTTCTAGTTCTGTTCTAGTTCTGTTCTAGTTCTGTTCTAGTTCTGTTCTAGTGTTCTAGTTCTGTTCTAGTTCTGTTCTAGTTCTGTTCTAGTTCTGTTCTAGTTCTGTTCTAGTTCTGTTCTAGTTCTGTTCTAGTTCTGTTCTAGTTCTGTTCTAGTTCTGTTCTAGTTCTGTTCTAGTTCTGTTCTAGTTCTGTTCTAGTTCTGTTCTAGTTCTGTTCTAGTTCTGTTCTAGTTCTGTTCTAGTTCTGTTCTAGTTCTGTTCTAGTTCTGTTCTAGTTCTGTTCTAGTTCTGTTCTAGTTCTGTTCTAGTTCTGTTCTAGTTCTGTTCTAGTTCTGTTCTAGTTCTGTTCTAGTTCTGTTTTAGTTCTGTTCTAGTTCTGTTCTAGTTCTGTTCTAGTTCTGTTCTAGTTCTGTTCTAGTTCTGTTCTAGTTCTGTTCTAGTTTGTTCTAGTTCTGTTCTAGTTCTGTTCTAGTTCTGTTCTAGTTCTGTTCTAGTTCTGTTCTAGTTCTGTTCTAGTTCTGTTCTAGTTCTGTTCTAGTTCTGTTCTAGTTCTGTTCTAGTTCTGTTCTAGTTCTGTTCTAGTTCTGTTCTAGTTCTGTTCTAGTTCTGTTCTAGTTCTGTTCTAGTTCTGTTCTAGTTCTGTTCTAGTTCTGTTCTAGTTCTGTTCTAGTTCTGTTCTAGTTCTGTTCTAGTTCTGTTCTAGTTCTGTTCTAGTTCTGTTCTAGTTCTGTTCTAGTTCTGTTCTAGTTCTGTTCTAGTTCTGTTCTAGTTCTGTTCTAGTTCTGTTCTAGTTCTGTTCTAGTTCTGTTCTAGTTCTGTTCTAGTTCTGTTCTAGTTCTGTTCTAGTTCTGTTCTAGTTCTGTTCTAGTTCTGTTCTAGTTCTGTTCTAGTTCTGTTCTAGTTCTGTTCTAGTTCTGTTCTAGTTCTGTTCTAGTTTGTTCTAGTTCTGTTCTAGTTCTGTTCTAGTTCTGTTCTAGTTCTGTTCTAGTTCTGTTCTAGTTCTGTTCTAGTTCTGTTCTAGTTCTGTTCTAGTTCTGTTCTAGTTCTGTTCTAGTTCTGTTCTAGTTCTGTTCTAGTTCTGTTCTAGTTCTGTTCTAGTTCTGTTCTAGTTCTGTTCTAGTTCTGTTCTAGTTCTGTTCTAGTTCTGTTCTAGTTCTGTTCTAGTTCTGTTCTAGTTCTGTTCTAGTTCTGTTCTAGTTCTGTTCTAGTTCTGTTCTAGTTCTGTTCTAGTTCTGTTCTAGTTCTGTTCTAGTTCTGTTCTAGTTCTGTTCTAGTTCTGTTCTAGTTCTGTTCTAGTTCTGTTCTAGTTCTGTTCTAGTTCTGTTCTAGTTTGTTCTAGTTCTGTTCTAGTTCTGTTCTAGTTCTGTTCTAGTTCTGTTCTAGTTCTGTTCTAGTTCTGTTCTAGTTCTGTTCTAGTTCTGTTCTAGTTCTGTTCTAGTTCTTTCTAGTTCTGTTCTAGTTCTGTTCTAGTTCTGTTCTAGTTCTGTTCTAGTTCTGTTCTAGTTCTGTTCTAGTTCTGTTCTAGTTCTGTTCTAGTTCTGTTCTAGTTCTGTTCTAGTTCTGTTCTAGTTCTGTTCTAGTTCTGTTCTAGTTCTGTTCTAGTTCTGTTCTAGTTCTGTTCTAGTTCTGTTCTAGTTCTGTTCTAGTTCTGTTCTAGTTCTGTTCTAGTTCTGTTCTAGTTCTGTTCTAGTTCTGTTCTAGTTCTGTTCTAGTTCTGTTCTAGTTCTGTTCTAGTTCTGTTCTAGTTCTGTTCTAGTTCTGTTCTAGTTCTGTTCTAGTTCTGTTCTAGTTCTGTTCTAGTTCTGTTCTAGTTCTGTTCTAGTTCTGTTCTAGTTCTGTTCTAGTTCTGTTCTAGTTCTGTTCTAGTTCTGTTCTAGTTCTGTTCTGTTCTGTTCTGTTCTAGTTCTGTTCTAGTTTTTGTATTAGTGTTGATACAGTTCTAAATCAATTTGAGTTCAGTCCAGTTTTCTATCAGAAATTTTAACTAAAAGGGTACTACTATGTTTTACTATTACTTCATACCGCTAAAAATATTGTTCCTTTCTGTTGAAAAATTTTTTCTATTGCATTACTTTCGTTCCGATATTATTTATGTACATATACATAACATATCAAATCATTTTTTGCCTTTTGCTATTTCACAGACAATCCAGTAGCAATTTCGTGGCCACAACGTGGTGATATATCTTTTGAAAATGTCAGTTTACGTTATGAAGGGCAACCAGAGGATGTTATTAAAAATTTAAACTTAACAATACCAGCAGGTCAAAGGGTAAGTTGTAAACTAAACATATGGAGCTTAAGCAATTTAAGTATTTATTTTTAGTTCACATTTCTATATAAACCACTAAACTTTAGGCGCAGCAAATTAATTGCTTATCTTTTTAAACAGCCAATATATAATGAAAATGTAAGACTATTTTCCAATATGTGTGAAAATTAACTTTCTGTATTACTTTATTTATGTTTTTTATTTACATTTTTATTATAATTTAATATTTCCCTTGCAATTGAGCTCAAATAAACTACTCCTACACACAAGAGTTCATCAATATGCTCTGCTCCTGTTAATAGACAACAATTTTATGTCTGCGAGAAAAAAAAAAGATTTTTTGATATTTATAATTTTTTGAGGTCTTTTAAGTTAGTTTATCATGTGTAACTATTTTTTCGTTTCATACAAATAATCCCTGCATATATGTAGCCAAAAATGTACAAAAAAGTTAAATAAAATATTTATATTTTATGCAAAAAACACAAGCTTGTTAAAAATAAATTGCCTTCGGTCTGTAAAAAACAATAAATGTTAAAAATTAAATAAAAACACAGTTGATGAAATTAAAAACAGCATGTAATTTATAACGGAACTAGAAGAGAACTAGAACAGAACTAGAGCAGAAATAGAGAACAGAACAGATCTAGAACAGAACTAGAACAGAACTAGAACAGAACTAGAACAACTAGAACGAAACTAGAACACAACTAGAACACAACTAGAACAGAAACTAGAACAGAACTAGAACAGAACTAGAACAGAACTAGAACAGAACTAGAACAGAACTAGAACAGAACTAGAACAGAACTAGAACAGAAGACTAGAACAAACTAGAACACTAGAACAGAACTAGAACAGAACTAGAACAGAACTAGAACAGAACTAGAACAGAACTAGAACAGAACTAGAACAGAACTAGAACAGAACTAGAACAGAACTAGAACAGAACTAGAACAGAACTAGAACAGAACTAGAACAGAACTAGAACAGAACTAGAACAGAACTAGAACAGAACTAGAACAGAACTAGAACAGAACTAGAAACAGAACTAGAACAGAACTAGAAAGAACTAGAACAGAACTAGAACAGAACTAGAACAGAACTAGAACAGAACTAGAACAGAACTAGAACAGAACTAAACAGAACTAGAACAGAACTAGAACAGAACTAGAACAGAACTAGAACAGAACTAGAACAGAACTAGAACAGAACTAGAACAGAACTAGAACAGAACTAGAACAGAACTAGAACAGAACTAGAACAGAACTAGAACAGAACTAGAACAGAACTAGAACAGAACTAGAACAGAACTAGAACAGAACTAGAACAGAACTAGAACAGAACTAGAACAGAACTAGAACAGAACTAGAACAGAACTAGAACAGAACTAGAACAGAACTAGAACAGAACTAGAACAGAACTAGAACAAACTAGAACATAACTAGAACAGAACTAGAACAGAACTAGAACAGAACTAGAACAGAACTAGAACAGAACTAGAACAGAACTAGAACAGAACTAGAACAGAACTAGAACAGAACTAGAACAGAACTAGAACAGAACTAGAACAGAACTAGAACAGAACTAGAACAGAACTAGAACAGAACTAGAACAGAACTAGAACAGAACTAGAACAGAACTAGAACAGAACTAGAACAGAACTAGAACAGAACTAGAACAGAACTAGAACAGAACTAGAACAGAACTAGAACAGAACTAACAGAACTAGAACAGAACTAGAACAGAACTAGAACAGAACTAGAACAGAACTAGAACAGAACTAGAACAGAACTAGAACAGAACTAGAACAGAACTAGAACAGAACTAGAACAGAACTAGAACAGAAGTAGAACAGAACTAGAACAGAACTAGAACAGAACTAGAACAGAACTAAAACAGAACTAGACAGAACTAGAACAGAACTAGAACAGAACTAGAACAGAACTAGAACAGAACTAGAACAGAACTAGAACAGAACTAGAACAGAACTAGAACAGAACTAGAACAGAACTAGAACTAGAACAGAACTAGAACAGAACAGAGAACTAGAACAGAACTAGAACAGAACTAGAACAGAACTAGAACAGAACTAAAACAGAACTAGAACAGAACTAGAACAGAACTAGAACAGAACTAGAACAGAACTAGAACAGAACTAGACAGAACAGAACAGAACTAGAAGAGAACTAGAACAGAACTAGAACAGAACTAGAACAGAACTAGAACAGAACTAGAACAGAATTAGAACAGAACTAGAACAGAACTAGAACAGAACTAGAACAGAACTAGAACAGAACTAGAACAGAACTAGAACAGAACTAGAACAGAACTAGAACAGAACTAGAACAGAACTAGAACAGAACTAGAACAGAACTAGAACAGAACTAGAACAGAACTAGAACAGAACTAGAACAGAACTAGAACAGAACTAGAACAGAACTAGAACAGAACTAGAACAGAACTAGAACAGAACTAGAACAGAACTAGAACAGAACTAGAACAGAACTAGAACAGAACTAGAAACAGAACTAGAACAGAACTAGAACAGAACTAGAACTAGAACAGAACTAGAACAGAACTAGAACAGAACTAGAACAGAACTAGAACAGAACTAGAACTAGAACAGAACTAAACAGAACTAGAACAGAACTAGAACAGAACTAGAACAGAACTAGAACAGAACTAGAACAGAACTAGAACAGAACTAGAACAGAACTAGAACAGAACTAGAACAGAACTAGAACAGAACTAGAACAGAACTAGAACAGAACTAGAACAGAACTAGAACAGAACTAGAACAGAACTAGAACAGAACTAGAACAGAACTAGAACAGAACTAGAACAGAACTAGAACAGAACTAGAACAGAACTAGAACAGAACTAGAACAGAACTAGAACAGAACTAGAACAGAACTAGAACAGAACTAGAACAGAACTAGAACAGAACTAGAACAGAACTAGAACAGAACTAGAACAGAACTAGAACAGAACTAGAACAGAACTAGAACAGAACTAGAACAGAACTAGAACAGAACTAGAACAGAACTAGAACAGAACTAGAACAGAACTAGAACAGAACTAGAACAGAACTAGAACAGAACTAGAACAGAACTAGAACAGAACTAGAACAGAACTAGAACAGAACTAGAACAGAACTAGAACAGAACTAGAACAGAACTAGAACAGAACTAGAACAGAACTAGAACAGAACTAGAACAGAACTAGAACAGAACTAGAACAGAACTAGAACAGAACTAGAACAGAACTAGAACAGAACTAGAACAGAACTAGAACAGAACTAGAACAGAACTAGAACAGAACTAGAACAGAACTAGAACTAGAACAGAACTAAACAGAACTAGAACAGAACTAGAACTAGAACAGAACTAGAACAGAACTAGAACAGAACTAGAACAGAACTAGAACAGAACTAGAACAGAACTAGAACAGAACTAGAACAGAACTAGAACAGAACTAGAACAGAACTAGAACAGAACTAGAACAGAACTAGAACAGAACTAGAACAGAACTAGAACAGAACTAGACACGAACTAAACTTAACTGTTTTGCCTTTACCAAA